TGGTGCTGCGGCCGGGCGGCCTTAATCTCCAGCTTCCCCCCACCGTCCACCACCCATTGCAACTGCGCCAGCACCCGTTTCTCCGCCTCTATTCTCACATCCGGTACAGTCACACCCATCAGCAACCCCTTATCCTTCGCCCTCAGCCCCGCCAGCCTGGCGGTCGGCGCCCCGATCGAGTGCAACAGTTTCTTCACTGAAACTTCACTCGGGATATTATCCACTGCAGACGTCCCGTTCCAAGAGACAAACCACGAGTAATCATTCATGCTGTCGATCCGAACCGCCGACCCCAACGGCTGCTCATCCGCTGCCTTTTCCGCCAAAAACAGCTCCCTAACATCTTCCAACCCATCGTCCCAAAGTATAATCTCATCCCCCACCGCCATAACCACCCGCCCGTGCTTCCTCACAGTCAGCCGGGCATAATACTGCTCCATAGCCATCCCCACCGCCTTTCCCAGCAACGCGTACTGAGCCAGAACCGGCGCAAGCACTATAGCAACCTCATAGAGGGTCCTATTCGTGGCGTTCCACAGACTCTCCACCTCCTCTACCATGTCTTCTAGGAGGGCTCTGAGCCGCGGGGTGCCGACGCGGTAGGAGGAGACGGGCCAGGCGTTGCCTGGGGGAGGCTCGTCCAGGTCGCGCAGGGCCTCCGCGTCCAGCTCGGCGCGCAGGGCGAATGTGCGGAAGGCAAAGAGGGCGAGGCGGCGGGGATCGCCCTGGGGGAGGGTGGGGGAGGGTGTGGGGGGGCGAGGGGGGTTGGTGAGGGCGGAGGGGGAGGCTCATCTAGGTCCCGTAGGGCCTCCGCGTCCAGCTCGGCGCGCAGGGCGAATGTGTAAAAGGCAAAGAGAGCTAGACGGCGGGGTTCGCCCTGGGAGGGGGAGAGGAGAAGGTGGGGGGTACGAGGAGAGGGGGGTGGTGGGGGAGGGCGGCAGGGGTTGGGGGAGGGCAGGAGGGGGTGGGTTTTGTGTGGGAAAGAGGAGAAGAAGGGCGATACAAGAAAAGGGGGTTGTGAGTTCGGCTTAGCACACAGCAGGGCCGACCTCACGCGCAGCGCCCAACGCCCCAGTGCCGACTATACCAGCCCAGCACGCCCAACGCCCCAGTGCCGAGGGCGAAAGGGACACACTAGCCCAGTCCCCATCCATCCACCCACCTTGGGTATTCTGTCGAGGCACAGCAGGGCAGACCGCACGCCCAGCGCCTCAGCACTGACTCTCAGCTCTCTCAACTCCGTCACGGAGGGCAGGCGCCCCTTGGTGAGCGGGCGCAGGCAGGAGCGGTAGCGCAGGTGCAGGATGCGCACTGCCTTCTCCAGCACGTCCAGCTCCGCGCTGTCCAGTTGCGACCTCCCCCCGCCCCGCCCGTTCTCTGTGTGTGGGGGAGCGTGGGCGTGGGAGGGTGGAGGGGGGAGGAGGGGAAGGGAGGCTCGGGGTGAGGGGGGGATGAGGGGTGGGGGTGGAGGGAGGGAAAGGGGTGCAGGTTAAGGGGGGAAGGGGCATGAGGGGTGGGTGGTGTTGGGGCGGAACGGGGGAGAAGGGGGGAGAGGGCGCAGGCAGGAGCGGTAGCGCAGGTGCAGGATGCGCACTGCCTTCTCCAGCACGTCCAGCTCCGCGCTGTCCAGTTGCGACCTCCCCCCGCCCCGCCCGTTCTCTGCTTCAGGGGAGGGTGTGCGGAAGGTGAGAAGGGGATGGGGTAGGGGAGAGGAAAGAGCCTCCAAGTAGCTCCTAACTTCAAATCCACATACCTCTCCTAACGCTAATTCCACGTACCTCCTCCTAACCCTAACTCCACGTATCCCCTTCTTACCCTAACCCCATAATCCGCGTAACCCTAATTCTGGTCCACCACCCTACCCTAGCTCTATGTACCACCCGAACCCAGCCCCACACACCTCCTTCCGGTTCTTCCACTTGTTCTGGGTCATGCAATTGCGTGAACAGCGCATGTAGACAGCTCAGCATTCTGACACGTGGCAGCCCGTCCCCTTCTCCTTTCCCCGTTTTTCCGGGGCTGTATGCTGACATGGCAGCGGTTACGGCACCTAATGCCAAATGCGCAATCCCAAGAGGCGCTCCCAACTGTCCCGAACGTGCTACCGTGCCTATAGGCTCGGCGAGATTCGCCCCGTTGACTCGCGGCTCGGGGAACCATGGTCTTTCCGTCTCTGTGTCGCTGCTGTCTGATTGGTCCGCGTCCCCCATCCTCGTCTGGTGCTTATATCGAAACCCGGCGCTCGGCCTGGCTGAAACACTATCTGCCTGCAAGCGTTACTACAGGTTTATTAATGTCAATGAGAATCGTAAAAGGGTTTCGACGATGATGATAACTGATATATCGAAACCAGCCAATTGAGCTAATAAATAACGCCTTGCTGCTGCCGCTGCTGCCGGCGTTGCCCTCTGTTGCGAACCCTGCTGGCCTAATTGCTGATAGCGATAACGTGGCGATTGTTACTCATTGAGTTAAGTCTGAGAGTACCGAACGCCTAAACGGAGTGACGCGCGACAACATCGAGTGTAGCCTACTAACTCCATAACGAGACCGCTGCTGCCAGTGGGAGTCAAGCCTAAGTGTTTTCTAAACGCGTATCTAGGGCAAGGAGACTGTCATTATCGCGGATGTGGCTGTACGGGATTGAGGATGCTGCAGTGGTGAATGGTGAGCTTTGAACGCGATACGTTCGCCTGATACGTAGCCGTACATGTTGCCATCGGTGCTCACGTGCCACCATCATGATGACGTGGCATCGTCACGATGATGTGGCAGCATTCTGCAATGCCGAGCTGCCAAGACAATGCCGAACGCGCCTCGGTGGAAGAAACCAATCCGGCCTATAATTGAAGGAACCCCAGTGTGCTGCGATGTCCCTCCTAAGGGCGTCCTCGTTTAAAGAGTGCGCGGGCTACAGGCGGTGTACGACGAATAAAGTTCCCTGTGGGATCCACGACGGGAAAAAATACGCATGGGGATAGAGGCCCTGGGTTCTGTAAGCTGAGCCTTCATAGCAGGGCGTTTTCTAGCAAAGGCTTTGGAGAAAAGTGGAGGAAGCAGGTAAAGAAGAAAGAAAGGGACCGCCGGGCTGACGATGAAACCATGAGGAAGCGGTAGATGAAAAAGTGGTGGGGCAATGAGACGGCGATACAGCAAACCGCACGACAGCGTCAAGCCTTCGAGAAACACGTAAAAGCGTACCTGCAAGAAAAGGCGTCGCTATGAAGTAGTCTCTAACCGACGCACTCAAGGGAGAGGAGCGAGACTTCCAGTCCGTGACGCGCACTCACGTACTCTCCCTGTACAATGTTAGGGTTCGTACTGATACACGACGTGGTCAATGTACGTTACGAGTAAGGAGGCCAGAAGCTTTCAAATGATGACGAGAAATCAGGGACGAATAGTCAGTCGAGTGACTTGAGAGCTTTGAAGAGACAGCAAGAGCGAAAAGCTGGATTAGGTTGGATGGGGTGGGGACGAGGACAGAAATGGATACTGTTGGTTCCGCCATTGACGAGAACAGCGGAAAGATTCGAGGGGGAAGCACCAGGAGAGGAGAAAGGTGGTACGGTGCTGGTATGTTTGAGCTCTCCGCTGTTACGGGAAAAGAGAGCGTGGGGGAAGAGCCCCAGTGAAAGTGTAGGCTCGGAAACTCGCGACTGGACGGGGAAGTGGCGGAAGCAGGCGATGGGGAGGGACAGGGGAAAGGTCGCGCACGAGTGGTTGAAAGCAGCAGCTTTGGGGAACAAACATCGTTGTCCGCAGTGAACCATTCTCGAAGTGCTGTCCCTCGAGAATATCCCTTCGGCATTTTTCGAGGCGTCTGTTCGAAGTGCCTCTCTTGCCACGTTGAACGTTTGACTTCAAGACGTCCCAGTTTCTGCCTTCAGAAGGTTAGGAGCAAATTTACAATTTTAGCACTGTCTACAATCGTGGCACCAGACTCGAGTAGCCGAAGTGGAAACTTACATAAGCTCCTCGCATAATTGCGCACTAGAATGGGAAGAGCGGGTGGTTCGGAAGTGATTGAGGGGGGGCGGTGTGGTGTTGCGCAGTGCGATACATGCAGTAACGCTTCGCGAAAATATGAGAAAGTGGTCTGCGCCTGTCACAAGTGCCAGTTCTTCACGAAGCAGCAGCTTCCTCACGAAGAGTAACAGCAGCCATCTCGCCGCTGTCAGTTGGATACGACGGGGACACTACACGACAATAATGTGAGAACAAGCTTCGGTTGTGTTGTGCCGCTGCTTTCTGTATAGTTCCTCATCCCCTTGCTTATTTATCTTGGAAATACCATACTTGGAAATGGATCTATCACGTTTGCATCTGAACGGCTTATGTCACCTTTCCACAATCTTAAGATTTTTTTAGAAATTGAGCGCTTGATTAAACAGTTTCCTTCGATCTATTTCTCATGTTATTACTTAAATGCCTATGTATTTACTTAAATCATATAGTCAGGTCCGCCATGTAGTGACAATGACTCGGCTTATAAGGGTATAGCGCGTTTTGCCGCCACTTGGATGGAGACAGACAACTGCCTCAAACCTGGGAAGCCTTCGCAGGAAGGAACGTGGACAGACCAAACACGAATCATCGCGCTCCTGCTGTGTCACTCACTGGGCTGACCAGACACCTGGAAGTGTACCTGCTTCCGCCACGTGGTCATAGTAGTTCACTCAAACCGTCTATTCCCCTTCAATAGATCTGGTGACGTGGTTCTTGACAGCTCAGCGTCGCTCAGCGTCGCATTGCATGTTCATCTCCTTTCACCTGTTTCTGTCGCTCATTTTTGGGTGATCTTCGCTTGTTCACTTGCTTCTGAAGACATTCTCATTTAGTTTCCTCTCATTCCAACATTCTGTTACCAGCCAAGTAGTAAATTTCCGAAACCGCACCGCTGAACTCTTTTATTCTGAATACTCTGTTCTACCACGAGCTGTGTCCTCCACAACACCATCCCTCTGTCGACGCACTTCCCTAACATTTACTCAAACGCCATGGCCGCTACCTCTCTCCAGTGCAAGCTCTCGCTTGGGTCTCTCGTGAAGGCCGACGTGTCATCCCTCCGACAAGGGCCCGCTGTCGTGTCATTTCCCCAAAGAGTAAGCTTCTGCGTTCCCTTACCATACTCGTTATTTCAAGAGAGAGTTTTGTCCGGAGCTTGGTGTTTTCAAGGTTGGCTAGCTGTAGTTCATGGTTATTGTGTTCTAACTAAACTGTGTTACATCTGACTGACATTGCAGAGAGTAACTGTGCGTGCGGACCGCAATGACTACACCGGCTATGTGGAGAAGGACACTGCCGGCCAGGAGAACATCTACGCCGTTGAGGTGAGAATCAAAGGCGCACGCTTTGTCATTCTCAGGGTTAGCGACGAATCACAATCGGACAATGGCAATGGAACTAGTACTTTGTCAGCAATGTCGATGGCGCTGAATTAAATAGAGCTGGTCCAAATCAGTAATCGCAAATGTGCAATCCGTATCTCCAATTAAAGTATTCTTTCGTCTATGCATGTACTTTGTCTGCAGCCTACCGTCTATGTGGGTAACTCCGGCAGCTCCGGTGTGGTCCTGAACGTTGTCGGCGCTGCCGCTGCCCTGGCCGGTGCAGCAGCCGTGCTATTTGCTCTCGGTGGATCAGACCCCGCTCCGCAAGAACAGGCGTACTCCGGACCTCCTCTTTCCTCTTACGTTAGGAAGTTCGAGGCGGAGCTGGCACCAGCTCCCGTGCAGGCTCCCGCGGTTGTTGACGAGGTTGTGGAGGCTGCACCTGCTGCTGATGAGTGAATAGTGGCAACTGGCGGAGCTTAGGTGCATTAACGCTCTGAAGGTGAAGTTTTGCTACGTAATTGCAGAACGAAATTCACCTTTTTGTATTTTTAGGTTCGTCACTTTCCCCTTCACGTTGAGAGGCTTTTCTGGTTTGTTACTGTGACCTCTTAATAAACGGTTTAATACCCAACGTGACATTGCGAATGGATGAACATGCATTTATTATTGGAGATTGCATGTACCAATTTCCCCTGATCGCACCTCCGATTCCTCTTCCTCTTCCTCCTCCACGCTTCTCTATCGCATTGTCTAGTCGTAATGGCGCACTGCATATCTGTCACCTTTCACTGGAGTATCCCGTCCTCCCTCCCCCTCATCCCTGGTCTTTTCCTTCTGTCCCCCCTGTGGTACACCTTGTAACTCTCAACACCTTCCATCCTTGTGCCAGCTGTTAACTCCCCCAGTTCCCCCTTATCTAGCTATTTTGTTCATCCCTCCCCACGTCATTATATCTCCCTTCCCTGGTTTCTTCCCCCGTCGCCTTCTCCCTCTACCTGCTCCCTCAACCTGCTCTAGTCTCAGTTCTTTTTAGTACAGAATGTCGAATGAAGTTTGAAGGGAACGTCAGAATTGCAGCTGACACGTGGGTCTAGCAGAAAAACTATTTGAGCTGTACAAGCAGGCAGGAATATGGATCTTGTTCCTAGACAACCCGGGGCAGGCAGTAACTGCCTTTTCAGTGTGCTTTGAGGTGTAAAGGGCTTATTTTCCAGCTGCTTTGCTGGTCCCTTATGAGGCTTGCTAATACCTGGAAGTTTGGTCTTGCAATTTGGCCAATGACATACTTGTATGCTCAGCAATGCTGACTACTGAGCATTTTTGCGCTGTGTACCTGTAAAACGAGAATTTATGGTGTGACAGCATCGTCCTTACCGCGTACAGCTTCAGTTCAGGTTCCAGATCGAGGAAAGATGGCGCGAAGATGCGAACATCGTGTGGCTTCCCGACCGAACCGAACCGAGTCACAACTTGCTCCTGCCTCAATTTTGATAATATCCCATCCCATCCCACCCAGTCCCAGCCCACTCTCCCAATCTCGTAATCTGTCAAACAATTCAACTACATACACCAGTCTCACTCACAGATCACCAAAAAAACGGCCTTCAGCGATCCTACCGAGCTTAGGAAGACTAGGTGTTGACTACAGCTCCGATATTTTAGCTCCTTCATTGGTAGTCAAGGTGAAGCATCTCTGTGTTCGTGTGTGACTACGGTGACCATCTGCTTCGCCTTGTTTGGATTAAGTCTTGCTGAAATGAAAAATCGCACGCACGTTCACAGTCTTCCTGACGAGATCCTCGTGAGGATTCTATGGCGATCCAAGCAGCTTCCGCCGTGGGATCAAGACAGCGACGACATGCAAGAGTTCGCGCACTCGAGGATAAAGTCAGCTGCCGGAGTGCATATTGAGGACTACTTCCGCGAAACTTCTGGCCCTTTACCTACACCTCCCGCCTTTACCAATGCTGCGTGGACTCTCGGGATAGCGTCCGTCTGTCGTCGCTGGCGCTCTCTTTCTCAGCGTCACGTCTCCACGCTTCTGGTCAAACCATGCTGCGCTGGTTCCCGCCAAGATCTCGCCAACGCGGTCACTCGCTTTCCGAATTTAACACACCTTCATCTCTGCAACGATAGCGTGGAGACTCTAGATGACGCCTTCCTAATTCACCTCGCCTCATCGTGTCCCAAGCTGACGGCTCTGCACGTGGGGGAAGGGATCACACATCATCACTATGACGCGAGGAAGCATCTGCATCCTGTGACGGAAGCTGGCTTGGATAATTTCTTCCGGGGTTGCAATCAGCTGGAGAAGCTTTCGTTACGCTGCCTGCATCGAGACGTCAAACTTCCGGCTTCTTTTTTCCAGTTAACGCGGCTGGAAAAGGTCTCTTTACCTGACGCATCAGCGCTAGAAGATCCTGCTATCGCCAACCTTTCTGCTCTTAGCAGTCTCTGGATTACCTGTCCGCTTTTGAACTACCAGCAGCTATCATCCCTCGTTCGCCTTCCGAATCTCACCAGCCTACAGTTCCCTCACGGCACCCGCGTAGTCTCAAGTGATCAATCTTCTACTGCTCTAGCCATCGCAGAAGTTCTACCCTGTCTGAAGTCGCTGACTATCCAAACAGCATCTCCGCAGTTCGACCAAATGTTCCCTCCAGAATCACCATGCACCAGCCTCGAACAACTCCTCATCACCCGACCAGACCAACTAGCAAGCCTTCCTGACGACATTGGAGATCGGCTGCCGAATCTGCGCGAGCTGTACATTAACGGTTGTGAGACTCTCCAATCTCTTCCTGAAAGCATCACGTTGCTGAGCCGATTAGAGACCCTGAGGATTTTAAGAACGAGGGGGGATTTCAGCCTGCCTGAAAGTTTTGGGCAGCTGCCTGCTCTTAAGAAGTTGGTGCTGAACCTGGTGAATCTCTCCCATCTTCCGGACTCCTTCAGCCTGCTCACATCGCTGGAGACGTTTATCATGAATGAGAACCGTCAGCTATCCAAGCTTCCGGAAGGTTTCTGCTGCCTGACAGCGCTAAAGGCACTGTGCCTCGAGAATACACAAGTGACGCTTCCTGAAGACATTGGAATGCTGATTAATCTGCAGATCCTGTGTCTGTGCAACAGCTGGAAGAGCCATTTCCCGTCCTCGATCACCCAATTATCCTCCCTCACGATGCTTGATCTCGATAGTTGTTCCTTCAGTGAACTTCCAGAGGACTTGGGGAAGCTGAAAGGCATGAAGATTTTGCACATCCACGGCTGCTCGTTCAAGAAGATTCCTGATTCCGTTACCTGTCTGACCAACCTCGAGATTTTGACGATCGACAACTGTTACGCGCTGTTTTCATTCCCCAGGAGATTGGGGTGCCTTACAAAGCTCAAACGGCTGCAGATTCATGCGTGCACTGCACTTCCGGAGTCACTTCCCTGCTCTCTGGAAGTCTTGAACTGGGGGGGTTGCGCCAAGCTCACTCAGATGCCCGACGTTTCCAAGCTGCCAAATCTCACCGGTTTAAGCTTAAGCATGGTTACTACTGGGCGAAAAGTGACGACAAGTAAAAGCTTGTCCCAACTGAAGCACTTGGTGCTGCACCTGGCGAAGAATGCAAAGACGCTGCCTTTCCCTTTGACTTTTCTGAAGCAGCTTCGTACTTTGACCATTTGGTGTTTTGTGAAGCTGAAGGAGCTTCCAGAAGATTTTGGATCAGTTCTGCCGCAGCTGCGAAAGCTGCGGATACAGGGTTCGGAGGAATTGGAGCATTTGCCAGCAAGCATCACACAGTTAAAGCACCTCATGCGCTTGGAGCTCGTTGAACTTCCGAAACTGACTTCCCTGCCTGATGCAATCGGCGCATTATCCCGGCTTCAAAAGCTCAGCCTGATCCATTGCCCTGCTTTCGAACATCTTCCTGCTTCCCTCACTCAGCTTGCCTGCCTAACTTGGCTGGATGCTTCGAATTTGTCTATTCGCTCCCTTCCTCCCAGGTTTTCTGAGTTGACCAGTTGAAGCGACTGTCTTTGAGTAACTGTAAGGAGCTGCAGACTTTTCCAAATGACATTTCAGGCCTTAAGCTGCTCCAGTCATTGGATATCATGGGGTCTGAAAAGGTATATGACAAAAAACGGTTTTCAGAGCCCCCTTGCGTTCGTACCATGTATGGCTTGATGTTTTTAGATTGGTGGTGAAGATGATCAAGTTGGGCGATTTTTGTTTTCCAACCTAGCAATCCGATCCTGGTTTGGGAGTTGACACCACTTGCTTTGAATTCAAGACTGCTCAGTACTCACTCACCTGTTGGCGCCAATCACTTTTGCACAAAAGGCACTCTTAACGCCTCCTCACATCTACTCTGCTTCGCCATTTTTTTGTTCAAGAGTGCCAGCTCTCCGGCGCCACCTACAACCACTTCAACATATTTCAGTAAATAGCAGTACCACTTTGTGTTGTGCTACACTTTCCCTTGTAGGAATGTATTTCTGTATCCGGGTTGATAGGTGTAGATCTGCTTCATTGGTGGGACGGGTGCTTCTCGAAAATGCCTTGTATTGAGTTGGCGGGAAACTTTGCTTTGCTGCACCGTTTCACCAAGCGCCACGGGACATCTCCAAACTTGGCCTTCCGCAATCCAAGGTGGGTCATGAAACCTTTCCCGCCATGCGAGCATCCATACCCTCCGGAGATGGGCAGGACGTGCCTGAAATCAAGATCCAACGGTTTCCCAAGGAATACCGAGAATTCAGCGACGTGCAACGAAGGAAAGAGTGAGAGCACCCCATTGACACCCTTGATCATTTCTCGCCGTCGATCTTCGCGCTTCAGATGTCTTCCTCACTTAGCAAAACAACATATTTAGCGTTCTGCCCGCTACAGAACTTCTGCGTCCCACACTCACCCTCGATCTCATGTGCAAGAGAGTGGTAGCCACACGAATCCCTAGCTGTAAACACGCGTGACCTCCAACCTTCGCTAGCGGCAACCTATGCGCATGTAACCCTCGTTAGAATCAAGGGCGGGCAGCCTAGCACACTTCACCAGAAACACCTTTTCCTCCTGCCTGCCGTTTTATCGACCAGCCCCCCCCCCGTATGACACGCCCGCCAAGCATACCTAGCGGCATTCTAGAATGTGGACCAGCAACGATGGGAGCACAGCAGATGTATGAAGCAGACCTAGAATAGCAGGGAGGATAAATCAAGCAGCAGCAGCGCACTTTTACGAGGCGCACGCACGTCACGTTACTCGGTTCCTGATCACCAGTTTTTATCCAATCGAATACCCGATATCTGTCCAGTAGTGCACCGTTCTGTGTTTGTTAGCCAAGAATGGTCCAACGCTCATGCGATGCGACTGATAAGGGCGCTGTTAGCTCGGATTGACACCTTATGCAAGCGAGAACAACTTGATCGCGACCTGCTGCTAACAGCCGATTTTTTCGCCCAGCTGGCACTCGTAACTTCGTAATCGTCTTTCCACCTTACACGCGATCAATAGGGCCGTCTTCTTTCTTAAACCGCCATAGCCGGCCTTTTAGTTAGAACCTTCGACCCATTTCGCGAGTTTTAGGACATTCGTTTCTGATTCTGACCAGTCTATTTCAAGCCGACCTTACTGCGTACAGCACCTAACCCTAATCATGGAGCCGCCAGGACATCCCTACCTAACATATAGAGGCCACAGGCACAGACAGCCAGGAGACATGATCGCACATTACGATCGCATCCGAGACGAGCTCTTAACGGGTCGGCCTGTATCGGATCAGGGCGAAACTCACAGCCGGAAAAAGCGGCCCAGAACTCTAGCTTCCGACGGCCTTCCGCTCCCGCTCTGGCTCACTAATGTCATCTTCGTTATAACGTTCGTTCTTTCTAGCTGTTACCTACTCCGCCGGTGGCGCGAGAAGCTGGACTCCTCGGAAAAGCTCCATATTTTATTATGGCGGGACTTAGCGGCCGTCACGCTCGCGATCTGTTCGTTTATCTACTTAATCGGTTTCCTGGGGATCGGGTATGTGCAAGCGACGGTGGGGCTGAGCGTTCTATCGGACGAAGAGGAAGAGGAAGAGGAGGAGGAGGAGGAGGAGCGGGAGGAGGAGGAGGAAGAGGAAGAATCGTCTAGGAAGCTTCGTCACTGCCAGCACCAAGAGCAGGCTAAGGAGCTTGCTCACCGCTCTCCTTCTTTTAAGTCCTATCTCCAACCTTCGTCCTTCGAGCCTGAGTGTGCTTCTAAAGCGGTTCCGATTCCATCCGCTGCAGCTGTCCCTTCCGTTACAGTCTCCTCTGGTACAATCACGCCGAACACCAGCACTGAAAGCTTGAAAACCTTCGTCTTCAAGTCCGACAGTGCATCCTCGTTACAAGACGTCCCGCTGCAAGACCTCCCGGACGACGACATCGCGCGCGCCGTCGCTCGCGGCGCCATTCCCATGCACTCCCTCGAGGCGCAACTCGGCAACACCCTCCGCGCCGCCGCGGTCCGGCGGCGCGCCGTGGAGATTAAAACCGGGCGGTCCTTAGCCGGGCTCCCGCTGGAGAATTACGACTACGACGTGATCCGCGGCGCGTGCTGCGAGATGGTGATTGGCCACGTGACGATCCCCATGGGTGTAGCGGGACCGTTACTTTTGGACGGCACGGAATATTTCGTACCGATGGCTACGACTGAAGGGTGCCTTGTCGCTAGCACGAACCGCGGCTGCAAAGCCATCTGCGCCGCCGGCGGCGCGCGCAGCGTCGTGCTGCGCGACGGCATGACGCGCGCGCCCGCCGTGCAGCTCCCGTCCGCGGTCCGCGCGGCGGAGCTGAAGGCGTACGCGGAAAGTCCGCGCAATTGGGCGGAGCTCGCGGAGGCCTTCAACAGCAGCAGCCGGTTCGCGCGGCTGCGGAGCCTCCGCGTGGCGGTCGCGGGGCGGAACGCGTTTATCCGCGTGGAGTGCGGCACGGGCGACGCTATGGGCATGAACATGGTTTCCAAGGGCACCGCGAGCGTGCTCGGCGCGCTGCGGGAAGCGTTCCCGGATATGCGCGTGGTGAGCATGTCGGGGAACTACTGCGCGGATAAGAAGGCGACCGCCGTTAACTGGATTCACGGGCGCGGGAAATCTGTCGTCTGCGAGGCTACTATCCCCGGCCACGTGGTACGTTCCCCGCCTTTTCCCCCTTTCTCCCTTCCCCGGCCCCTTACCGCCGTTAACTGGATTCACGGGCGCGGGAAATCTGTTGTCTGCGAGGCCACCATCCCCGGCCACGTGGTAGGTTCCCTGCCTTTCCCCCCCTTCCCCCTTGCCCCTTTCCCCTTCCCCCTTGCCCCTTTCCCCGACCCCTTACTGCGGTCAACTGGATTCACGGGCGCGGGAAATCTGTCGTCTGCGAAGCCACCTTCCCCGGCCACGCGGTACGTTCCTCCCCGCCCTTCCCCGCCCTCTTTTCCCACCCTCATTACTCTCCCTACAATCCCGGCCTCCTCACCCTCCTCCCCTCCCCGGCACCCTGCCCTCCGCACTCTCCTGCCCTCCGCACCCTCCTGCCCTCCTCCCCACCCTCCCCCGCCTCCCCCGACCTTGCTTTCCCACTCCCCTTGCCCTCCCCGACACCCTGCCCTACCCTCCTCCTCACCCCTCTGCCCTCACTCCCCTGTCCTTCTCACCCCTCTGCCCTCACTCCCCTGTCCTTCTCACCCCTCTGCCCTCACTCCCCTGTCCTCCTCACCCCTCTGCCCTCACTCCCCTGTCCTCCTCACCCCTCTGCCCTCACTCCCCTGTCCTTCTCACCCCTCTGCCCTCACTCCCCTATCCTCCTCACCCCTCTGCCCTCACTCCCCTGTCCTCCTCACCCCTCTGCCCTCACTCCCCTGTCCTCCTCACCCCTCTGCCCTCACTCCCCTGTCCTCCTCACCCCTCTGCCCTCACTCCCCTGTCCTCCTCACCCCTCTGCCCTCACTCCCCTGTCCTCCGCACCCCTCTGCCCTCACTCCCCTGTCCTTCTCACCCCTCTGCCCTCACTCCCCTGTCCTCCGCACCCCTCTGCCCTCACTCCCCTGTCCTTCTCACCCCTCTGCCCTCACTCCCCTGTCCTTCTCACCCCTCTGCCCTCACTCCCCTGTCCTCCTCACCCCTCTGCCCTCACTCCCCTGTCCTCCTCACCCCTCTGCCCTCACTCCCCTGTCCTCCTCACCCCTCTGCCCTCACTCCCCTGTCCTCCTCACCCCTCTGCCCTCACTCCCCTGTCCTTCTCACCCCTCTGCCCTCACTCCCCTGTCCTTCTCACCCCTCTGCCCTCACTCCCCTGTCCTTCTCACCCCCCTGCCGTCCTCATTCCCTCCTCCTCACCCCCTGTCCTCCATTCCCCCTGCCTCTTCACCTTCCTGCCCTCCCGACCCCTGTGTCCTCGACCTTGTTTCTACGTACTCGGCCTACTGTGACCTTGAGTCGACTCAAAAGTCACCTCGTGTCCTCTTCACCTTCCTGCCCTCCCGACCCCTGTGTCCTCAACCTTGTCTCTACGTACTCGGCCTCTACGTCCTCAACCTTGTCTTCCTTCCGAGTTGACTTTTGAGTCGACTCAAAAGTCACCTTCCGACCCTCCCCACTCCTGTGTCCTCGACCTTGTCTCTACCGCCTACTGTCTTCCTTCCCCAGGTGGAGTCGGTGCTGCAGGAATTTTTTGAGAATTCTAGAAAAATCCCTTCTTGCCCTCCCCACCCCTGTGTCCTCGACCTTGTCTCTACCGCCTAACGTCTTCCTTCCCCAGGTGGAGTCGGTGCTAAAGACAACGGTTGCCGCCCTGGTGGAGCTAAACACCGTCAAGAACCTGGTGGGGTCGGCAATGGCGGGCGCGGTGGGCGGCAGCAACGCGCACGCGAGCAACATTGTCACGGCGGTGCTTCTTGCCACAGGGCAGGACCCCGCGCAGAACGTGGAGAGGCTGGTGGTTTTCACAAGCCTCAACCGCTCTGTACTCCTCTGTCTTCCCATTCCTCCGTTGACCCCCCTGCTGCTCCTCCGTGTTCTCGCAGGTCGAAACTGTGCTAAAGACAACGGTTGCCGCCCTGGTCGAGCTAAACACCGTCAAGAACCTGGTGGGGTCGGCCATGGCGGGCGCAGTGGGCGGCAGCAACGCGCACGCGAGCAACATCGTCACAGCGGTGTTTCTTGCAACGGGGCAGGACCCCGCTCAGAACGTGGAGAGCTCGCAGTGCCTCACGCTGCTGGAGGCCGCGAATGGCGGGGCTGACCTGCACGCGTCTGTGACCCTACCCGCGATTGAAGTCGGGACCGTCGGGGGAGGAACCTTCCTTGCACCACAGGTGAGCGAGAGGCGGATAGAGAGTGGGTAGAGGGCAGAAGGGTAGAGGGGCTGGCAGAAGGGCAGCTGACAGCAATGGGTCTTGGCGACGGGGCAGGATCCCGCGCAGAACGTGGAGAGCTCGCAGTGCCTCACGCTGCTCGAGAGCAATGAGAGCGCCAATGACGGGGCTGATCTGCACGCATGTCGTTTTTGAGGCGCCTCAAAAACGACCTCAATGAGAGCGCCAATGACGGAGCTCTCATTGCTCTCGAGCAGCGTGAGAGGGGCTGATCTGCTGTGAGAGGGGCTTCCGTCACGCTGCCAGCTGTGGAGGTCGGCATGGTTGGCGGAGGAACCTTCCTTGCACTGCAGGTGAGCTAGAGGGAGAGAGAGTGAGGAGAGGGAGAGGGAGAGGGTGAGTAGAGGGCAGTGGGCATCGCAGCCGGCGGCGAATGCGCAGCAGCTGGCACGGGTGGTGGTGGCAGCAGTGCTGGCGGGGGAGCTCTCTCTCTGCTCCGCCCTTTCTTTAATGACTCAACCAGGGGCGAATGCGCAGCAGCTGGCACGGGTTGTGGCCGCAGCCTTGCTGGCGGGGGAGCTCTCTCTCTGCTCCGCTCTCTCCTTTATTGTCTTCCCCGTGCCCCCATCCCCTGTTTCCTTCCCATACAGCTGCACTCTGTTCTTGAGAGGGTGTTGAACCGTCCACAGGTACCCTAACCACTTCCCCCTCCCCCCCCCCCCCAAGGCGGCAGCGCTGGCGCTGCTGGGCGTGAAGGGCGCGCACAGGACACAACCAGGGCTTAACGCGCAGCAGCTGGCGCAGGTGGCCGCGGCAGCAGTGCTGGCGGGGGAGCTCTCGCTCTGCTCCGCACTCCCCCTCCGCCCCTCTTTCCCACTCCCCGTCTTCCCCCCTTCCTCTCTATCCCCTCAATGCTAATCCTGCTGCCTCTCCCTCCCTCCCCCCGTGCCTCCCTCTTCCTCCGCTTCCCTCTCCCACAGGCAGCAGCGCTGGCCCTGCTTGGCGTGAAGGGCGCGTACAAGACAGAGCCAGGGCTGAACGAGCAACAGCTGGCGCGGGTGATGGCGGCAGCAGTGCCTCAAACCCCTTCTCTTCTCCCCTCCGCTCCCGCTCACTCCCACAGGCAGCAGCGCTGGCCCTGCTGGGAGTAAAGGGCGCTCACAAGACAGAGCCAGGGCTGAAACGCGCAACAGCTGGCGCGGGTGATGGCGGCAGCAGTGCCTCAAACCCCTTCTCTTCTCCCTTCCGCTCCCGCTCCCTCCCACAGGCAGCAGCGCTGGCCCTGCTAGGAGTGAAGGGCGCGCACAAGACAGAGCCAGGGCTGAACGCGCAGCAGCTGGCTCGGGTGGTGGCGGCAGCAGTGCTGGCGGGGGAGCTCTCGCTCTGCTCCGCCCTCGCCTCTGGTCATCTCGTGCAGGCGCATCTCAAATACAACCGCTCCACCCTCAATGTCAACGCTGCTTCTGCTGCTCTCAATGCCACTGCTGTCAATGCCACTGCCGCTGATACTGCTGCTGCTGTTGGTGCTGCCGCCGCTGCTCCTGCAGTCGCTTCAGCGGTCACTGAAGCTGCAGGTGCTGCAGTTGCTGCTGCTGCTGCTGGTCCCTCTGCGGGCGGGGCTGTGTTCAGGGCTGTGGCGAGTGAGTCGGACTGCAGTGAGGATGGGTCTTTGGATGGGCTGTGTATGGCGGATAAGTGCTGAGGGTCCTGCTTCTGCCAGTGGTAGTGGTACTTGCTGGTGCGGCTGAGTTCAGGGCTGTGGCCAGTGAGTCAGGTTGCAGTGAGAGTGGGTCGAGAGGGGGCAGCAGTGGGTCGCTGGAGGGGCTTTGTATGGCGGACAAGGGCTGAGCTGAGCTGACTGGTGCTGCTACTGCTGGCGGTGCTGCTGCTGGTCCCTCTGCGGGTGCGGCTGTGTTCAGAGCTGCGGCGAGTGAGTCGGACTGCAGTGAGAGTGGGTCTAGTGGGGCAGCAGTGGGTCGCTGGAGGGGCTGTGTATGGCGGACAAGTGCTGAACTGAGCTGACTGGTGTGCTGCTGGTGGTGGTGGGGTTTTCACTGGTTGTCACTCGGAGCATGGTGATTGCAGTGATAGTGGGTCGAGAGGGGGCAGCAGTGGGTCGCTGGAGGGGCTGTGTATGGGGGACAAGTGCTGAGGGGAGCTGACTGGTGCTGCTACTGCTGGCGGTGCTGCTGCTGGTCTGTCTGCGGGTGCGGCTGTGTTCAGGCCTGTGGCGAGTGAGTTGGACTGCAGTGAGAGTGGGTCTAGTGGGGCAGCAGTGGGTCGCTGGAGGGGCTGTGTATGGCGGACAAGTGCTGAACTGAGCTGACTGGTGTGCTGGTGGTGGTGGTGGGGTTTTCACTGGTTGTCACTCGGAGCATGGTGACTGCAGTGAGAGTGGGTCGAGAGGGGGCAGCAGTGGATCGTTAGAGGGGCTGTGTATGGCGGACAAGTGCTGAGGGGAGCTGACTGGTGGCCCTTGATAATGCCAGATGCAAGTGTCAGCTTTGACTGCCGCTGCAGGTGTCTCATGTGACTCTAAGGAGGGAAGCAGGTGCAGCATGAGGTGCAATGGTGGCAGATGAAGGTGGAGGTACAGCAGGAGGGGCTTTTGTGACTCTAAGGAGGGGAAAACGGATACAGCAGGAGGGGCTTTTGTGACTCTAAGGAGGGGAAAACGGATACAGCAGGAGGGGCTTTTGTGACTCTAAGGAGGGGAAAACAGGTACAGCAGGAGTTGCATGAGGAGGTGCGGCATGAGGTGAAATGGCAGCAGATGCAGTGCAGGAGAGGGGTTTCTGTGACTCCAAGGATGGGACAGCAGGTGCAATGATGGCAGACGCAGACGCAGCAGCAATGCTGCAGGAGGTGCAAGGATGCCAGCTGCAGCAGCACCAGCCGATGAGTTCAGGATTGGAAGAACCAACTGCCAAAGCAGAATGCGGAGTGGCTTTGAAATGCGAGGGGTGGATTCGGGGTTGTTCCCAAGTTTCCCCTGTAGCAGGCGGGGCTGATCACAGAGGTTGGCTGATCTCAGCCGTTGGTTCTCATCACTGCTGTGGACTGATCACAAGCTGCTGTCAGTCACCAGCGTAACTGTTACGGCTGCAGAGTCCACACCATCGTAACAAGAGTTGGTGTGAATCCTCTCTATCCCTGGACAACCAGTGCTTGTAACGGGCGCAGCAACACTGAATCCTGCACTGAAGCCTCGTTATAAGCAAGCTGCTGAACCCGCCATTGAGTCTCTCAGCATGTGTGTTGTTTGGGCCAGCGCTCACTGTATGGAGCTCTGCAGTGTCCATTGGAATGTTGTTGGGGGAACATGTTGAATCCACTGGAATCCTCTGGGACACGCCTTGCAACACTGTATGGAGAGCTGCAACGTTCTTCTGCAAGGGTTGCCCTCCCGTAAGCTCGTGTGTTCCGTGCTGACTTTGGTGGGCTACTGTCTGCTTTGGTGGGCTGCTGTTTTCTTCTGTGTGCTTCTGCTCGCTGTGCTTTGGTGGGTGGCAGCAAGTATGCTTGTAAAACGAAGTCCCATGTGCTGGGAAGATCCCAGGGGTGTATTCCTTCAGCAATCACAGCCCTGATGATCTTGCTCTTAGAGCTGTAAGTCGTAAGGAGTATTCCAGGAGGTGCTATGTAGTTCTTTGTAGTTTGATTTGCTTGAGCGTTTAACAACTGACATGCGATAGGCAGTTAGTTGGGTTAGGGTAGATTCTTAGTGTAGGCAAAGGGGGTAGAGACAAATAGGTTAATTGCTTGATAGTTTTGAGAATGGTTTTTTTACGCTTGCTTGCAAATTCTCATTTATTTGTTTATCCGGCCCCTGATGAGCAACTGGAATAATGCAAGTGAATGTTAAAATCCTACGAACAGGCGTTGTTGAGCTGGATAGTGGATAATCACATATGGTTCACTTTGAAATTGTATGCATATGTGGGTGGGCTTGTATTGCTACACAGCCGCGCATTTGTTTTATGAAAGACACTATAGCATGTATACATCCACAATCGTAACTGACCGCCACGCATACTATAAACGAGTTTGTGATTATAAACGAGTCCATTCAAACTGAATGCGTTCGAGGACGGGGGGCGTTTAGTGAAGGATTTGATTGTGCCGACAACTGTGCCGTTTCAGTGGTAGGGAAGATTCACGCTGCAGAATGTGGTTAGATTCACTCATCACCAGTGGAGTGGACACTTGGTTCGCACGAATCAATCGGGTGAGCTGGCCCTGAGGAGATCTCTTGCCACTGTCCATGGCATTTTCCTACTCAGCTCCAGGTGGCTTCAAGTTCTAGATCCAAGGTTCGAATGGCTCGGCCAATGAGGTGCGGTGCTCACCCTCGAAAAGTCGTTGATGACAACATCTTGCCAATCGGGGATAGAAGATCTGGGCGATCGTTTCTTCACCCAGAAGCGAGGTGAATCTTTCGTCGAAGGTGCGAGACGTACGTAAGCGAGGGACCTGTGCTGATTTCGTGGTCAGAATTCTTCCTTCTTGACCCCCTTCATACATACGGGTTGGCGGACGCGGCGAAAGGACGCTCCCGACATTTTCGTGTTCGCGAACTCCCACGCCAGCCTGCTTGGGCGCACAGCGGCACAGGCCGAATCAATTCCGACAGGAGGCCACCTGTGGCCAGTCTGTCGCAAGTTTCGCAAAGGCAACAAATTCGCCCCCCTTTTCAATATTTGAACAAATTCTAGCCCGCCACCACCACCTTCCCTGACGCCTGCCCCCTCTCCCCTCAGTCCTTCCCCCTGAATCAACCAACCAGCCCCTCGTGCAACCAAACCTACACCTGATGCTGACATTCCCAGCGCCGAACCGAAGTTCCCAAAGACCTCGACTCCGCCGCACGCTGCTCTCCCCTCAACCTCAACTCCCCTCCCCAAATATGATCCCCGCAAGCAACCCCACCGCCTTCACCCAAAGATCTTCCCACACCCCCCAAAAATCGTCCAGCCAAATCCAGCAAACCCCGCTACACCACTCCGCAACATTTCGAATCCTTCCCAAACGTGAATGATGTGTTTGGACCACTCCCCAAAACTGGAAATTATCCCAAGCCAACCCCAGCCAGGTGTGCTTTGGTTGGTAGGCGCTCTTGTATCCGGAACAGTGAGGTGGCGGAACCGCGTCGTCCTTGTCACCTCAGACCTGCATTTGGCCGCAGATTCAGCAGCGGCCATTTCTCCCCTAAGCTCCGCTGCTGCCATTGCAACTGCAATTGCATTTTCCGCAACTCCCAGCGAAACGGGACGGGACGGGAGGAAACCGCGGCCGTTTCCGCAGAAAGTCGGTCTCCCCCTCCACCGTCCCAGCGAGTATTTTCGCGAGTATTTACTTCACTTTACGAGAAGATTTCATTTCCTGCCTTCCTAGTCAGCATTCCAGGTTGCTTCAGAATCTGCTAGTTACCGAAGCTAGCTCATTCATTATCCCCAGCTGACTGACAGAGTTCCCAACTGGAACTTTGGAGTACATATTTGCACTCTCCGCTTCTAGAAGTTGTGCAAGATGATTCCCGGAGAAATTTCTCTTTCTCCGAGCTCCGGCTTTCCCATGGAGTCGAACCAGAAGCTCGGTTCCAAGAGGCCGTACGCAGATGCGTTCGACGCAGCAGACGACACCATGTTCTCCTTCGGCCAGACCGGAGACCTCTTCGACCGAGGGCTCGACCAACTAATGACGTACATGGGCGAAATGGGAGGGATTGCTGAGAAGGATAACAAAGCGCTCCCAAACGCGGACAGGCTTCTGCCTGATGATGTTCCGGAAGAGTCCGTCGGGGAGGGAGGCAGCCATGACAATTTCGGCATGTTCGACTCGAACCCGTTCGGTACCGTGAATCTCGCCGCGTCGTTTCCGGAAGGCTCGTGCGAGCCGCAGCTAGTCCCGTGCACTCCGAAGCCGGCTGCGACGACGACGACGACGAACGACGTCGCCGACTCAGTCGCAGACGGAGCGTTCGGATCGCCTGACGCGTTCAGCTCGCCGGACGGCTTCGCGTCGGAGGATTTCAATCTGTCCTTCGGGATGGATGACGTGGATGCGTTGAACCAGCAGGACCTTCGTTACAATCTCATGCTCAGAGGAGCCGGCCTTGCAGGTACGCAGTGAAAGCATAGCCATCCGGCTCATTCCTTTTTCACTCTCGTGTTTTCCATGCGTTCTTGCTCCTGCTTCCGCTTTTGTCACCACGAAGTTTTGTGGCTCACTTGTTATTTTCCCTTGCTATTCTGTTCTTGTAACGCAGAGCATTCTACTGCGGATGCCCCGTCACATCCCAAGATGGAGTACCCGGCGCATCACCCGATGAATCATCCGATGTATCCGCCGCACATGCCGCTCTACTACCCCGGAATGCCCACCATGCCCGTCCCCTACTACGGCATGCCGTACCCTCCATTCGCGTACAACCCGTGGATGGCTCCTTACTCCTCGCCCTTCATGCCTCCCCAACAGTAAGTCCGCGTCGCGTTTCTTTCTCTGAACGATGTCAGATATTTCCTTGTCCGGCCCATAAGAATTCCCTACTAGTAATGCAAAACTAGACTTCGCGAAAAGAAAATCGCAATTCTCGTGAATGGAAACTAACAATAACTTTCCTTTTTACTCTCTGCAGTCCTATGCCTGGAACCAGCGCAATGCCCACCGACCCTGCTGCTATCGCGCGTCAGCGTCGCCTGGTCGCAGATTCGGTGCGCGGAAAGCGACGAAGACACGCTCACGCCTCCTCGCAGCTCCCTTCCGCTGTATCTTCCGCTATGCCGTCCGTATCTGGTTATGGCCACCCTTTCCCATCCTCACCGTCCATGCTCCCCTGGACCCACGTCAATCCCGAAGCTGCTGACTCAGCGAACACAGCTCCTTCTTCGCCGTTCGTTCCCGCAACTCCTCTCCCGCCGTTCTCCCCCGCCGTCGTCCCGTCATCTCCCAAAGCCGTCGCGTCTCCCGCACGTTGCGCCTCGCCTGTCCCCGCATCATCCCCTGCTGCGGTGGGTAAAGCCGGCGCGGGGAAGGCTGCGGCGAAGAGTCCGCTGGGTAGAGCTGCTGCTCCTCCTGCTGCTGCTGCTGGCAAATTTCCTGCCGTCAAGTTTTCCGCAGACGCGGAGGTCGCCGCTGCTCCAGCCGCTGCCCTGCCGGTTTCGCCTGTCCTTAAGATTGAAGAGGACGTGTTTGTTCCTACCGCTGAGGCTCCCGCTATCCCCGCTACCGTTTCGTCGCCTGCGTCCGGGCAGCAAGTTAAGGGAGCGAAGGCCACGGCGAAGCAGCAGCGGGATGAGCGGCGTGTGAAGCGGCTGCTGCGGAACCGCGTGAGCGCGCAGCAGGCGCGGGAGCGGAAGAAGAACTATGTGTCAGAGTTGGAGCAGCGGTGCGACGTGGTTGAGAGGAGTAACGCGGAGATTGAGGGAGAGATTGCTGCGCTGATGGCGGAAAACGAGCGGCTGAGGAAGTCCATGCGGAGAGCCATCAGGGAGACTGGAGTGTGATACTGCAAAAGATTCGAGATGTCTTACAATCTTCAGAGTTTCATCAACTTACAAATCTGTACAGATTGATTGAGCGAGACTGCATCCTGATAAGAGTGGGAGGGGAGTGGAGCTGGAGCAACAGGGGAAGGCTGTGATGCAATACAGGCTGATACGAATGAGGGAAGCCTGGAGCATAAGTGTCACGCTTCTGAGTATGCTGGAGCTGACGCTGCTGCTTTCACGTAGGAGATTTGTGAGCTTGCGTAAACTTTTTTGGGAAAGCGTGAGGGGATAGCGACGCTGCTGGATGCAATACAGGACTCTAGATAGTGATTGCTGCTGGCTTGCTAGGTTTATAGAACAGGACACCAGCTGAGTAAGGATTTGACCTTGCAGTGGTGGATTTCGAAGTGAAAGTATATAGGCTTGAGAGTAGATTAGGCCACTCTTTAATGTAAGGAGTTCTGTATATATTCTGCACCTTGTGTCCAGCCTAGATAAGCATTCGCCTGTCTTCTATATACCATCACACCAGATGTGCAATATGTGTCGTGAAATCTAGGCAGGAATGCGGTTGAATGTGGATGAATTTCACTTTCTGTCAGAACCCACCCAACCATTCTACTTTTCATACCAACCACTCTGCCGCGCATAACATCCCGCCAAAACGCTTTCCTGACATATCCCGCCAAAACGCTTGTTCACAAACACTGCTGGAACAATTTCTCGTTGATCACTCTCTGTAGTGCAAAATGCTGCAAGACGTTTTTTTTCCAGTTTTCACCCCGTTAGACCACTGTGCACCCAATTGAACCTTGCAAAGTTGTTGGATAAATATATGACCTGATGCAAAGTTCGGCAAAAAACAAAATGCACCGTATTGTATCTCGCTGCAACATAAAGCACCGGGCTAATTTTTTCTCAATGACCGATATGATCATGCCCCGAAGCATTAGCCTGTGAGTGGCCTTTTTGCAGTGGCCATATGTCAGTGGCCTTTTTCAAGTTAGCCGTCGCATCGCGACTTAGCCTGTGAGCACGGCACGAGCGTTTAGTACGGACGAAATGCTGCATTGGGGCAATCCTTAACAAAGCGAAAGGACGATGTTCTTGTCGTTATTCTAAGTAGAGGAAGATGTCGCCTCGGCGTGTGAATTAGGAGGTATTAGATACGCCGCGGAGGGAAGATGGGGCCTCGTCGTAGGGTTAGTGCTGCAACGGATGTGGATTCGCCACGTGGCGTTGAACTGATGCCGGATGCAGGTTCAGTAGATTCGAGACAGGATCGGCCCAAGTCCAGCGATGGTCGAGGCAAGCCCAGCAGCGTCGCAGATCGTCGCCGAGCCGGTCGCATTGTACTCGCGACAGCGGCGGCGTCGCGCGTCGCCATGGTGGTACTGTTTTTCGCCTTTGACGCAATTCTAGAAGATTATGACACGTCAGCTCGCATCTACTCTCCACCCGGAATTTCGTCCGCAGTAGACCGCACGCTGACACTCCTAGGAACCTCCCATGTCAGAAGCCAAAGTGCTGACGAATCGAATCTCGAGAACGTCGATATGGGCCGTCTACTGAACTTCGTTCCCACTGTCGCGGCTCGCGCGGCTGAATGGGTCCTCCGCCGTCTACCCCCTGAATTGTTTTCCACATCGCTGATCGAAGACTACCCAGGTAATTAACACCTCTTCTGCTGTATACACCCCTAAAGGCACTTCCCCCACCCCACCCACCCTTCACGCCCAGTTCAGGCCATAATAACACGGTTTCCCCCCTTGTGCAATTCGGTTTCTTCCACCGCGTTGCACTCATACTGGCTCCCCCTTTTCCCCCCTTGAACCTCTTTCTACCCCTGAAACTCCTAACGCTCCCTGGTCTCAGCCTAAAACAGCACCGTACAGCAAGCATTAGAGAGCCTGGTGGTGTGGGATCCGATCTTCTTTCACCGCATTGCCCTCCTTATGATACCCCCTTTCCCTCGGTGAACCCCTCTTTCCCCTCCCTGAGTTCAGGCCATAACAGCACGGAACATCAAGCATTAGAGAGCCTGGTGGTGTGGGATCCGATCTTCTTTCACCGCATTGCCCTCTGCGGTTACGAGCTCCAACAGGCATATGCCTTCTTCCCCCTCCTGCCTTCCCCTATGATAACCCCTCCTTGCCCCTCTGCCCCCCCTGATCAGGCCATAACAGCACGGTACAACACGCGTTGGAGAGCCTGGTGGTGTGGGATTCGGTATTTTTCCACCGCTTTGCCCTCTGCGGCTACGAGTTCGAGCAGGCCTACGCCTTATTTCCCCTCGTGTCGTGCCCCCTGATCAGGCCATAACAGCACGGTACAACACCCGCTGGAGGGTCTGGTGGTGTGGGATTCGGTCTTCTTCCACCGCATTGCACTCCGTATGGGACCCCCTTCCCCTCTTTGAACCCCTCTGTTCTCTCCCTGACAGGTCATAACAGCACGGTACAGCAAGCATTAGAGAGCCTGGTGGTGTGGGATTCGGTGTTCTTCCACCGCATTGCACTCTGCGGTTACGAGTTCGAGCAGGCCTATGCTTTTTTCCCGCTCCTGCCCTTGCTCATGCGACTCCTCGCCACTGCCACTCCCTGTAAGTTCTCCTCTCTTCGATTGCCCTTGCTCATCGATGCTCCTTGCCCAATATGTATTCACTATTGCCTATGCTTTTTTCCCCCTCCTGCCCTTGCTCATGCGACTCCTCGCCACTGCCACCCCCTGTAAGCCCTGCTCTCTGCCACGCTCACTCCATCCCTGTAAGACCTCCTTTCCTCTCCTGCCTTTGAGAACAGCTCTGCCTGATCAGTCGTCCTGCCTCGTCACCTCCTTGCCTTCTTCCCTCTCTTGCCTTAAGGCTTTCTCTTGACTCATGCGTCTCCTTGCCACTGCCACCCCCTGTAAGACCTCCCTTCTTCTACTGCCCTCCGTGCCCAATACATATCTCGCTATCGCCTATGCATACTTCCCCCACCCTTCGTTCCCTCCTCACCTGTCCTCCTATCCATGCTCCCTTCTGACCACCCCCTCCCCCCCCCCCAACCCCTTCCCCCCCTTCTCAAATCAGTCAGTCTGCTACTCCCCATTCTCAGGGCTCCAGCCACCTTCGCCCTCGTGGGACCGCCTTTTTCCAGCACCGCTTTTGTTGCAGCAGCTTACCGCCCCTCCTTCCCTCCTCTCCTCCTCTCCTGTCCTCCTATTCTTGACTCTTCTATCCCTCCACCCACCCACCCACCCCCTCCCTCCTCCCTCCCGGTTCCCTCAGTTCGTTTGCTTCTCCCCATTCTCGGAGCTCCAGCCACATTTGCCCTTGTGGGACTGCTGCTCTCCAATGCCACCTTTATTGCTGCAGCATACTGCCTTTTCAGGTAACTCCCAAGTCCGGATAGATATGGGTAAGGTGAATCTTTGCGACTCTTGAGTCGACTCAAAAGTCACCTCGTTTTGAGTCGACTCAATAGATATGGGTAAGGTGAGTCGTTGCGACTCGTCAGGTGATTCTGGAGGCGCCTCATAAGTCATTCCTTTATCTCTTTGGAGATCACTTGAAGAGGCAGCAAGCTGGTCCTTCAAGTGATCTCTCACAAGATGCGAGCGAAAAGAGTGGAAATCGCTTTTAAGAATTCTCAGAAAGAAGTGATTCCCTTTTTAACCTTCTGTCCTTCAAATCACCCCTCAAATGTGCTTCAAGTGTGCTCCGCTTAAACGAGCTGTTTGCTTTGCTCGTTGCAGCCTGACCGTTAGTGTTCTTTCTGACGCGCGCCTGGCCCTGCTCTCCGCCCTCGTCTCCCCTTCAAATGTGCTCTTCTTGGACGTCCTGCCCTGTGAAATCCCTACAAATGTGTTTCAAGTGTGCTTCCCTTGAACGTGCTGTCTGATCACTGCAGGCTGACCGAATGTGTTCTCTCGGACACGCGCTTGGCCCTCCTCTCCTCCCTCTTCCTTCTGCCTCACACGTTTCATCGGGAACATGTTTCTCCACGTGCTTCTGTTTTCCCTCTTTGCTCTCTGCAGGCTGACCGAGTGTGTTCTTTCTGACTCGCGCTTGGCCCTCCTCTCCTCCTTCTTGAGGCTCCTCAAGGGATCAATCTATGCCTGCTCCTCTTGAACGTGCCCTGTCATGTGTACTCTCTGCAGGCTGACCGAATGTGTTCTCTCGGACACGCGCTTGGCCCTCCTCTCCTCCCTCTTCTTCTGCCTCGCACGTTTCATCGGGAACATGTTTCTCCACGTGCTTCTGTTTTCCCTCTTTGCTCTTTGCAGGCTGACCGAATGTGTTCTTTCTGACTCGCGCTTGGCCCTCCTCTCCTCCCTCTTCTTCTGCCCCACCCCCGCCTCCACTTTTTACTCTGCCATGTAAGTTGGGAGACTGGTTATGCGTGTTTGTGTGAGAAAGAGGGAGAACAGGCATGCTGCGCATTCTTGCCTCCTCTCCTCCCTCCCTCTTCTTCTGCCTCACCCCCGCCTCCACTTTTTACTCTGCCATGTAAGTTGGGAGACTGGTTATGTGTGTTTGTGGGAGAAAGAGGGAGTACGGGCATGCTGCGCATTCTTGCCTCCTCTCCTCCCTCCCTCTTCTTCTGCCTCACCCCCGCCTCCACTTTTTACCCTGCCATGTAAGTGAATGACTTCGGGGGAATGAGTATGAGGAAGTGACTGTGAGAGTGTGTGTGAGGGAGTGTGTGTTTGTGTGTGAGATGGGGAGTGCGCATCTGTGAGAGGGTGGGTGAGAGAGCCAGTCAGGGGGAGGGTCCGAGGGGAGAGTGAGAGGGAGAGTGTATGTTAGAGGGAGATTGGTGTCTTTGCGTCCTTCTCTCCCCCACATCCCCCACCTCCCCACTTGTCCTGGCCGCACCACCTCGTCCCAACTCACCCCACCCCACCCCACCCCATCCGACCCCACCACACCCCTACCTAAACCACCCCACCCCACCACCCCTCCCCTTTGACCCCAACAGCTATTCCGAAAGCCTATTCGCTCTGCTCTCCTTCGCTGCCATGTGGCGCGTTGTGAGTGGCCGATGGTTCTCGGCATCCCTCCTAATCGCCCTCTCAGCAGCAGTGCGCTCAAACGGCGTCCTGCATGCAGGCTTCTTCCTCTTCTCACTGCTGCAGGTGCGCGCCTCTAGTGAGTCTGCAGGTATGTTCCTCTTCTCATCGCCCTCTCAGCAGCAGCTCACTCCAACGGCATCCTGCACTCAGTCTTCTTCCTCTTTGCCACACTGCAGGTAATTTAGTTGCTGACTTGGTAATTTAGCAACAACTCCCTCCTCATCGCCCTCTCAGCAGCAGCTCGCTCAAACGGCGTCCTGCATGCAGGCTTCTTCCTCTTCTCCTCGCTGCAGGTGTGTTCTCACTTCAGGTATACTATCATCTCCTCTTTGCCTCCCTCCCTCTTTGCATCGCTGCAGGTGTGTTCTCACTTCAGGTATACTATCATCTCCTCTTTGCCTCCCTCCCTCTTTGCATCACTGCAGGTGTGTGCTTGCTGCAGCTTGCAAGCGTGCACTCCCTCCCTCATAATCTCCCTCAACCCAATACCGAACTGACTGGCTCTGCTCTTGCTCCCCTTCCTCTTCCTCCCTGCCTCCGCCTCTCCTTCAACCAGCAGTTCCCACATCCAACCTCTGTTGCAGTGGCAGTTCAGTGCTGTCAGGCCGCAAGGGTTTATCCAAGATTGTGACACACGTCTCACATCTCTCACTCCTCTCCCCCTGCCTCCTCCCGCCTGCCTCCTCCCGCCTGCCTCCTCCCCTCCTTCAGGCAGCAGGGCCCTTCATTCTCCCTCTCCTGCCATTCCAGCTGCTGCAGCGGTTGATCAATGCTGTCAAGAAGCAAGGGAGTGAACCGAGAGAGCAGCACCCCCCTCACAAGTCATCTGAGAAAAGGGCGGAGAGAAGAGTGGCAGCAACGGAACGGGCAGCAGACCGAATCGGGCCGCTTCTGGAAAGGAAGCGGCAACTGTGCCGCAAGAGGTGAGCACTCTGGAAAGAAAGGGATTTTAGACCGACACACATCCCACAAGTCAACTGAGAGACGGACAGGCAGAAGAGTGTCAGCAACAGAACCAGCTGACCCTATCGGGCCACTTTTGGAAAGAAATTGGCAACTGTGCTGCACCAAGTGAGCACTCTCTTATCTCTCCCTTCCATTCTTTCTGGTTTGCTTTTTATGTTCCGCTTCTCTTTTTCATTGTTCCCTCTTCCCCACCCCAATTCCTTCCCATCCTCCTCCCCACACCCTCCTGCTCTTTCCTCTCCTTCTCTCTCCTCCTTTCATTCCAAGCCTTCGCCTTCATCCAAATTGATTCCTCTTCTTCTTGGTTTTTCCTGCCCTTATGCCTTCGCTTCCCCCCATTCCCCTCCCCTCCCCCTCTCCTCAATCCCCTTTTTCCTCCCATTCCCCCTCCCAGGCTCCTACCCATCCTCCTCTCCACCGCCCTCTGCTGCCTCCTCTCCTTCTCCCTCCTCCTCTCCTTCCAATTCTTCCCGTTCACTCAGTTCTGCCGCCCTGCTGCTAGCACCAGAACGTCCCCGGCCAGTGAAACGCCTCACGACATCCCCCCCTGGTGCCTGGACTCCGTTCCTTACATTTACGGCTATGTTCAACGCAAGTACTGGTAAGTAGCAGGGGCACCAACATCTGCTTTCTCTCAGTTCTGCCGTCCTGCCAGCATCAGAACGCCTCAAGGTGTTCCCCCATGGTGCCTGGACTCCGTTCCTTACATTTACGGTTATGTTCAACGCAAGTACTGGTGAGACAGCAGCAAGCAGCAAGCCGCACGCAGCAAGCAGCACTGCCTCTCCCTCCTCTCCCTCTCTCCCTCCTCTCCTTCTCCCTCCTGCTCTCCCTCCGAGCCTTCACTTTCACCCAGTTCTTCCGCCCTGCTGCTAGCACCAGAACGCCTCGAGACACCCCCTCCTGGTGCGTAAATTCAGTTCAGTTCGCTCCTTCACCTACCCCCTCTCTCCACAGGAATGCAAGATATCTCAGACACTTCATCCAACTCCTGAATCGATTTTTGAGTTGTCTCCGAAATGGGATGCGGGATTTCTGAGATTCTTTCAGCTGAAGCAGCTTCCCAGTGTTCTCCTACTAGCAGCACCCACCCTCCTCCTCTCCCTCTCTGCCGTCCTCCTCTCCCTCCCTCCCTGCTGTACCATCCTATCCCTTGCACTCAATTGCCTCTTCCTCTCCTTGTCTGTATGCCCCCTCTCTCCCTGCAGGGATGTGGGATTTCTCCGCTACTTTCTGCTGAAGCAGCTCCCCAACTTCTTCCTAGCAGCGCTGTCCCTCCCTTTCACCCCACTCACCTCACCTGCCCCTCCTGCTCCTTCCTCCCTGCCCTCTCTCCCCTCAGGGATGTGGGATTTCTCCGCTATTTTCAGCTAAAGCAACTCCCAAACTTTCTCCTAGCAGCACCCACCCTCCTCCTCTCCCTCTCAGCCATCCTCTCTTTCGCACTCACCCGCCCCCTCCTCTTCCTATCTCTCGGTCTCCTCTCCTCTCCTGCTGACCACCACCACCTCCTCTTCCTTCCACCCCCCAACCACCCAAAAGCACGAGAGACGGAGGAGGACGTGAAGGAGGAAGCAGAGGAAGAAGGAGAGGAGGAAGGGGAGGTGGAATGGAGAAGCTATGACCGTTTGAGAGGATGCAGGGGGTTCTATTCCGCTGCTGCACTGCCGTTCCTGCTGCAGCTGCTGTTCATGACAGCAGTGGCAACGTTGGTGATGCATGTACAGGTGAGGCCCTTGTGAGTGAGAGCGTATGTTCTACAAGACGCGCCACGAATGTATTGCTGCAGCTGCTGTTTATGACAGCAGTGGCAACGTTGGTGATGCATGTACAGGTGAGTACGAAAGGAGTTAGTATGGCCATTTGTGGGGATGCAAAGATGCGGGGGGTTCTATTCCGCTGCTGCTCTTCCGTTCCTGCTGCAACTGCTGTTATGGCAGCAGTGGCAACGTTGGTGATGCATGCACAGGTGAATGAGAGTGTGTATTCTCTTGGACACCTCATGACAGCAGTGAAATGCTAGTGATGCATGTACAGGTGAGTAATACGGGTGATGCATGTTCAGGTGAGTCAGCTCTTGTGTCCCTGTGGAAAATTCTGCAATTCCTAGTGATTACTGATTCATTAGAGGGGGAAAAAATAATAAAATTTCTGTAATATCCACGGAGCTTATAGAACGTTTATGTTTTAACCTATTATGGAAAAAACTTCACAGTGACGTCATGTATTTCGATAGCGGAAAACTTTACGAATGAGGGTGGGGCCATTTGTCGGAAAATGTGTTATCGCCCCTTTGCCTCATGTTACGCCACGGGGCCGAATCAAATAGGGGGGGGGGCTCCATCCGGGAATACAGTAACACAGGATGTTTTCCTCCTGCTAGCTTTGACTGTGTTACAGTCAAAGAAGACGTCAAACATTCGGTAGCTTCTTTCCATATCCCCTCGCTGCTTCTCCCCGCAACCCCTCCGCCCCCCATCCTCCCTTTCCCCCCACCTCGCAACTCCCTCCCTTGTGAGTTTCAGGTGGCTACTCGCTTCCTCTCCTCCTCACCTCCTCTCTACTGGTTCCTGGCCCATCTCCTCACATCAGCAATTACCATGCACTCTCAGACTGTCCCCCCACCCAACGCCCCCACCCTCCCATACCCCCTCCCCTCACCCCACCTCGTGACCCCCTCCCCTGTGAGCTACAGGTGGCAACTCGCTTCCTCTCCTCCCCACCTCCTCTCTACTGGTTCCTGGCGCATCTCCTCACATCGGGACATTCCAAGCAGTCTCAATCCAAACCCCCATCCCCCTCACCCCGCAAATATCTTCCTTTTGAGCTACAGGTAGCAACTCGCTTCCTCTCCTCCTCGCCTCCTCTCTACTGGCTCCTGGCCCATCTCCTCACATCGGGTTATGCCAAGCAGTCTCAGCCTGGGCCCCCCACCTCCCTCCCTCCTTTCCCTTCTCCCCTCCCTCCCTTGTGGGTTTCAGGTGGCAACTCGCTTCCTCTCCTCCTCACCTCCTCTCTACTGGTTCCTGGCACATCTCCTCACATCGGCAAATACCGAGCTCTCTAAATCTGCCCGCAAGTCTTCTGCGAACGAGGATCAAAGGTGGGAGTTGTTTATGATAAGAGCATGGATAGGTGCGTCATTGGGATATGCTGTTATTGGCTCCTTGCTTTTCATCAATTTCTATCCCTTCACATAGATTTGTTTTTTAGCCATGTTCTTGCACCTCAGGCACACGTTTTGCTGCATTTATAGAAAAAAACGAAACATGAGGTAAACGTTGGAACCATAACGCCAATAAATATGGACTAGTCCAGCGTCAACCACCCACGTGTACAGTGCCTATCCCCCGCCATTGAGTTAATTCAAAGAAGGGTTATGTGAGCGGAGGGAAAGAGGGTTATGTGAGAAGTGAGGAGGCTAATGTGAGAGGATATACGGGAGATTATGTTGGAGGATCAATGGGTCATGTGAGAGAGAAAGGGGGTTCTGAGAGGAGAGTGAGGTGGTCATGTGAGAGAGAAAGGGGGTTCTGAGAGGAGAGTGAGGTGGTCATGTGAGAGAGAAAGGGGGTTCTGAGAGGAGAGTGAGGTGGTCATGTGAGAGAAAGGGGGTTCTGAGAGGAGAATGAGGTGGTCATGTGAGAGAGAAAGGGGGTTCTGAGAGGAGAGTGAGGTGGTCATGTGAGAGAGAAAGGGGGTTCTGAGAGGAGAGTGAGGTGGTCATGTGAGAGGAGAGCAAAGGGGTTATGTGAGAGGAGAAAGATTGTCATGTGAGAGGAGGGAGATGGGTTGTGTGTGAGGAGGGAAAGGGGTTATGTGAGAGGAGGGAAGGGGGTTATGTGAGAAGAGAGAAAGGGTACTGTTATGTGAAAGGAGTGAAAGGGATTATGTAAGACGAGCAAAGGGGACACGTGAGAGGGGGGAACAGGGTTATGTGAGGCTGGAAGGAGGTTATGTGAAGGTTGTAAGCTTACGTGAGAGGAGGTGAGAGGAGGGAAGGGGGATGGTCTATGAAGAGAGAAGGGGGATCATGTGCAAGGAGAGAGGGAGCTTGTGTGAGAAGAGACGTACACAACGTCTGCCCCCCTACCGCCTTCTGTTAGCCACAGAAGTCAAGAGATTATAGGCGTAGACCCTTTGGACCCTCAGGAAACCCAGGACCCTTAGGACCCTCAGGGTTGCACCTCCTCCGTTAGTTCCCACTCAAAGAGTCTCGAGACGATGTGTCAGCAGTTATGGATTGTCAGATGATTTTGTAGATGCTTCAAAGAAGTCAGCTTGATTAGGACCCTGCATTTCCTCCGTTAGTCCCGACTCGCACAATGAATCGGTAGTTATGGATTGTCCGCTGAATTCAGCCTCAGCCGCTTGGAACTTTCTCATCAGGTCTCGCCTCACTGTAGAGTACAAGCTGATCCGACGGCCGGTGGGACTCGCCAGCTTTATTGGAGCTCCGGGACAGGATCTCGACCGTCGATGCTGGGTCTTGTTGATTGGTGTGCGAGTCGTCAAACCGATGCCTGAAACGAAAATAACAAGGTGGTGTCAACTATAGTAACATCATAATGAATGAATCATATAGTTATTAATATAATTTACCATGCGCACTCAGTAAGTAGGTCGTAGTGACATTACTGCTATCTTCGCTTCGACGCCGGCTCTGGGACGTTGGCTGGCTCGATTCCCGACTCGATAAATAATCCATGTTCGTGGAATAAGATGAAATCCCGGCATCTCCATGATCGTCAAACGCTGGCTCCAACGGAACTGAACCATGACTCGGAAGTAAGTATGTCTGCTCAACATTCTGTGGCGTATCCAGGGACATGACACAACGGTGCTAATACTGTGCCTCGCAGCTGCATCTCAAATATAGTTAGGCGGAGGAGGAGGGGATGTGTTGGAGAAATACAGTCCAACATTGGATTGGGCCCAGAATGACTTGCACGTTCACCATGCCTTGTGCACGCATTCTAGTGATGGGATGTGATGGGATCATGGGACCACAAATCCCTACTACAGCAGATCCGGCATAAGGTTGGTTTACAAATCGCGTGGGTGGGAAAATAACACAGAACTCAAACACGCAGCAAAACGGATGTTCTTGTGAAAAGTCAGGAAACGACAACGAATGTTGAACTGATATTAGTTGTTCTGGTGCTTGTGATCTGTATACCCAATCTGTGTAACTTGCGGGCCTGAAAGCCAACAGAATCACGCAACCGTAACTTAGAAATGGACCACGGAATGAAACGAACAAAACCATAGTAAATGCTGTAACAAACACAATTTTGTACGGCTGTAAGCAGTCACAACTGTTCAGTTGTAAACACGACACGAAATCTCTCAGGTGTACGTACAGTTCGACTGTACGCGCACTACAGAAGCAACACGATGGCTGGAAGGGATTCCCCGATCAAGACCGTTCTGAACAAGACACTGAATGCTGTACATTACAGACACTCATGATGCCACCTTACGAGCTTGAGGAATGTATCGAATTTAAAAAAGCGTAGGCCTGCCCTTCAGCGTTCAGGTGTATTGTTCGAGATATTTCTGCACATACATGGGCTTGCGATTTTCCATTCGTGAGATATTTTCTCCACGACAGCAACCAGACATGGTGTTTCTGCCACTGAACCTGCCTTCCCTCCCATAGGTCCTCGGGGGTGACTGCCCGTGATATCCCGCGTTGAACAGCCTGGCTGGCAGGACGTTATTTACCGACCGTTACACGTGGCAGCTCTGTCTGCAGTGCATTGGGTTGGCACCGACGGACGGACCCATTCCCGACAAGAAAAGGGCCATGGCCTGTGGCCCTGAAGGCAGGCACACAGGTGCCAGAACACAACACACAGCCCCGTCATCTCCACAATAAGGAATACCTCGATACATGATGTGTATAATTCTGTATTTCTCAACTGAATGTAGTTTTTTTTTAGATGTGAATCCCACTTTCCCGCATTAAGTCAAAGGGTTCCATCTACAGCATCATGTTTATGCTTTATACGGTAACCTTTCTGCACATACACAGGTCGATTGATTTCCTGGTCGATTGATTGAAGTACCGTATACATGTGAGGAGGAAGACGAGATGCATTGGTGTGCGAGGAGTGGAGCGAGCGTAAGAGCTAGATGAGGATGACGAGACAAGCGTTGGCGAGGTGTTGGGAGGACTGGAGGAAGTGAGGAGGAGTGGGGTGAGCGAGAGCAGGTGCTAGAGGAGGAAGACGAGAGAGGGATTGCTGAGGGGGTGAGGGAGGAGGAAGAGAGAAGCGTTGCAGAGCGGTGGGAGGACTTGAGGAGGTGCGGGAGGGGCGAAGCATGAACGAAGGACACACGGCAGGGACCTTCAGTTGAGAGGATCTGAGGAAGAGGCGGAAGAGGAAAAAAGCATTGCAGAGGAGGTGGGAGGACTGGAAGGGGTGAGGGAGGGGCGAAGCACGAATTATTCGATTCACGACAAAGTGAGTTATGTGAGAGATCTGAGGTGGAAGAGGAAGAGGAGCGAGGCGTTGGAAAAGTGGTGGGAGGATTCGAGGGGGTGAGAGAAGCGAAAGCGCGGATGCCTCAAATCACGAAAGCGGTCTTTGCATGAGAATTGGTGGAGGGAGAAGAGACAGTGGAGCGAGGCGTTGGGGAGGCGTTGGGAGGATTTGAGGAGGAGAGGAGTGGGGTGGAGGGGGAGGAGGAGGAGAGGGAAGGGAAGAGGCGCTTTTGCTTGGCGGAGCGCGAGGGAGAGGATGGAGGGTCTGAACGGGGCCAGCATGGGTAAGTCAAGTTACAGTAGTGAATGCAGCATGCAGGTAAGTCAAGTCATGCAGTGTGAGCATCGGAAGAGGAAGAGGAGAGGGGCGTTGGGGAAGTGGTGGGAGGATTCGAGGAGGAGAGGAGTGGGGTGGAGGGGGAGGAGGAGGAGAGGGAAGGGACTGCTAGGGGAAAGTGCAGGTAAGTCAATTCACTGACGTGGCCGCAGCATGAGAGTCGAAAGAGGACGAGGAGAGGGGCGTTGCAGAGGTGATGGGAGGATTCGAGGAGAGGAGTGGGGTGGAAGGGGAGGAGGAGGAGAGGGAAGGGAAGAGGCGCTTTTGCTTGGCGGAGCGCGAGGGGGAGGATGGCGGGTCTGCCAGGGGCCATCGCGGTCTGAGCTCCACCTGATGTTGGTCAATCAAAGGGAGAGGCATGGCAAGGAAGGGGAGTGGGGGACAAAAAAAAGGTAAGAGGATGGAGTGTGATGGGGAGGATGGCGGGTCTGCCAGGGGCCATCGCGGTCTGAGCTCCACCTGATGTTGGTCAATCAATGGGAGAGGCATGGCAAGGAAGGGGAGTGGGGGACAAAAAAAAGGAAAGAGGATGGAGTGTGATGGGGAGGATGGGGGGTCTGCCAGGGGCCATCGCGGTCTGAGCTCCACCTGATGGCCCCTGGCACATGTCAAGAGAAGGAAGGGAGAAACAGACAGATGACGGCAAAAACGACGAAGAAAGGAAAGAAACGATATAAGGGGAAAGAATACGGCAGGGGATAGCAGGGCCTAACACCCCCCTGATGATGCATGGAAAATGCAAGGGAAGAAAGGAGAGAGAGTGGCAAAAAACGTATGGAGAGAGACGTATCAAAAACACCCTCTCCACACGTGCCTGACACCGCCCTGATAATGCATGGAAAATGCACGGGAAGAAAGGAGAGAGTGTGGCAGGAAACATGAAGAGAAGAGTCCGACAGGGGCCGGAGGGGTCTTAGCTCGGCGTGGCCTGAAGGTGCATGGCAAGCGACACAAAGGGAGTGACATGGCACCAGTAGCTCTCTGATTTTGTGATAGCTTTGAGTGAGGCGCCGCAAACCTACAGTGGAAGCATCTGACTGATTTCGTATCACTCAAGTCGAGCCGTCTCACAACTACAGCGGTTTCTGAGTCGCCTCGAAATGTTATAGAGAAGTATTAGTGGTAGTAATGGATAAAGACGTTCGCTACACTTCATCCACATTAGTGTCCCCTCTGCCTGCCTGCTGACCCTACCAACACCTATCTGGTCCCAATACACTAACATGTGACCAATGAACTCACCCCCCCCCCACCCCCCCCCCCCCCCCCAAAAAAAAAAAAAAAAAAAAAAAAAACGTACATAAGCATCATTATCCGATTCGTCTACAGCAGGTGGAGGCTCCATGATTCCCAGTTTGTAACGCTCATACCCCGCCCATGCCACCATGACACCTAGAGGAGGGATAGGGACGAGGGACACGGAACAAGTATAGGTTTTCTCCCTGGGTCAACCCTGGGAAACTGGGACAGGTGGCGTGATGAGGGAATTGGGAAAGGGGGAAATCGATCAGGACAGGGGGGTGTGTGGGGGGAGGGGGGGAAATAGGGAAGAGGGACAGGTGGTTCCTCTAGAGCAGGCGAAGCCTCCCTTATCTAACCGCGTGTACCCCAACCATGCCATCTCTTTCCCGAAACTCTTGGGGAGATGAAGAACAACAGCCACAGCCACTCCCCATTGTCTGGGCAGAGGCGGGAGGAGGGCACACGAGCCTCAGCCCCGCCTGCTCACAGACTGAGAGTTGAACCAGAGTTCCCCCCCTCCCCTTCCCCGTCCCTCCAAGACATAAACAGAGTCAGTCACTCCCCATTGTCTGGGCAGAGGCGGGAGGAGGGCACACGAGCCTCAGCCCCGCCTGCTCACACACCTAGTCGCATCAAGAACCTACTTAAACCCACCCCTCTACCTCTGCCACTCACCATTATCAGTGCAGAGGCGGGGCGGAGGGCACACGAGCCTCACCCCCGCCTGCTCGCAGATGGCTGCGATCCGCGTGCGAACAACTTGATTAGATGCCACTCCTCCTGCCATCACCTAATCGATAGGGAGGTGAGGGGGAGGGGCGGGGGGGGGTGGAGGGGAGAGAGCAAAGAAAGCCCGAGAAGGGAGGAATGAACAGGCAGAGCGGAGGGCACACCAGCCTCATTCCTGCCTGCTCACAGACTGCTGCAATCCGAGTGCGGACGACTTGATTAGACGCCACTCCCCCTGCCATCACCTGATCGGTGGCGGCGGAAGGGGGAAGGGTTGGGGTGGAGGTGGGTGGGGAGGGGGAATAGCAGCCACACAAGAGCTTAACAACCCACACTCCCTCCTGGTCTGGGACAACCCAAGAACGTTTTGTTTCTGAGAATTCTCAAAAACCAACTCACCAGTGTGTTAATTGCAGGAGATGATTCCCTCGCCACCTGAATGGCTCTCTGCACCCGCGACTGCAGATGCAACACTGCCACCTCCTGTATACCAACCATGGACCATGACGCAACACAATTCCTCCTAGAAATGCTCTCCCTCTCCCTCTTCCTCTCCCTCTCCCTCTTCCTCTCCCTCTTCCTCTCCCTCTCCCTCTCCCTCTCCCTCTCCCTCTCCCTCTCCCTCTCCCTCTCCCTCTCCCTCCCTCTCCCTCTCCCTCTCCCTCTCCCTCTCCGTCTCCCTCTCCCTCTCCCTCTCCCTCTCCCTCTGACTCACCAGTGAGTCAATCGCAGGAGCTGATTCCCTCGCCACCTGAATGGCTCTCTGCACCCGTGACTGCAGATGCAACACTGCCACCTCCTGATTGGGAATAACATGGGCGAAGGGAGGAAGGAGGGGAAGAGATTTGAGTGGCATAACAGCCGCCGGATTCGGGCAACACACATCGTTATTGAAAATAAAGGAGAAGCATTGGGATATATTTTTTTTAGTCGATCGAAAAAAAAAAAACTGATCGGATATGACAGGGTAACCTGAGAAAATGTTGCAGCGCAGACAGCTTTAATGGGGAGAAGAGTGGTGCTATGGGAAGGAAGTTACCTGGAAAGAGGCAGCAATGTCGGCTCGTAACTGCCAGTCCTCCGGCGTTGCTTCGGCAATAGGGATGGTTTGAGCTGCCCTGGGGGTTAACGAGGAATCAGGTTCGGCAAGAGAGGTACGGAACAAGTTACATCAGGTGTCTGGCCTATAGGTCTGGCGAAACTATGGAAGGTTAAGTCAACTCGGGACACACACCCTTTCCCACACATTTCCACCCATTTCCACCCCTTTACCCCCATCACCCTCCTCACAAGGCCTTACGGGGCCTCCTTCTGTATGCAGCGTGCCTCGTTCACCTTGAGACAGCACAAGACACCTCCCCCCCCCTTTCCCACCCTTTTCCATCCCCTTCCACCCCTCAAAACAAACACCTTACGGGGCCTCCTGTATGCAGCGTGCCTCGTTCACCTTGAGACAGCACAAGATGCACACCCTTTCCGCCCATTTCCACCCTCCCCCACCCCTCTCCCCCCTCCCCACCCTCCTCACAAGGCCTTACGGGGCCTCCTTCTGTATGCAGCGAGCCACGTTGGCTTTAAGTCCCGAGAAGGAAAAGTCGCAGCTCTTGACACGCGCTAGAGGCACCTGAATGGGTGGGGATGAGGAGAGAGGAAGGAGAAGAATGTGAGGAGGCATGGACAGGGGAAACGTGCAATGTGCGAGCCACATTGGCTTTAAGTCCCGAGAAGGAAAAGTCGCAGCTCTTGACACGCGCTAGAGGCACCTGAATGGGTGGGGATGAGGAGAGAGGAAGGAGAAGAATGTGAGGAGGCATGGACAGGGGAAACGTGCAATGTGCGAGCCACATTGGCTTTTAAGTCCCGAGAAGGAAAAGTCGCAGCTCTTGACACGCGCTAGTGGCACCTGAATGGGTGGGGATGAGGAGAGAGGAAGGAGAAGAATGTGAGGAGGCATGGACAGGGGAAACGTGCAATGTGCGAGCCACATTGGCTTTAAGTCCCGAGAAGGAAAAGTCGCAGCTCTTGACACGCGCTAGAGGCACCTGAATGGGTGGGGATGAGGAGAGAGGAAGGAGAAGAATGTGAGGAGGCATGGACAGGGGAAACGTGCAATGTGCGAGCCACATTGGCTTTAAGTCCCGAGAAGGAAAAGTCGCAGCTCTTGACACGCGCTAGTGGCACCTGAATGGGTGGGGATGAGGAGAGAGGAAGGAGAAGAATGTGAGGAGGCATGGACAGGGGAAACGTGCAATGTGCGAGCCACATTGGCTTTAAGTCCCGAGAAGGAAAAGTCGCAGCTCTTGACACGCGCTAGTGGCACCTGAATGGGTGGGGATGAGGAGAGAGGAAGGAGAAGAATGTGAGGAGGCATGGACAGGGGAAACGTGCAATGTGCGAGCCACATTGGCTTTAAGTCCCGAGAAGGAAAAGTCGCAGCTCTTGACACGCGCTAGTGGCACCTGAATGGGTGGGGATGAGGAGAGAGGAAGGAGAAGAATGTGAGGAGGCATGGACAGGGGAAACGTGCAATGTGCGAGCCACATTGGCTTTAAGTCCCGAGAAGGAAAAGTCGCAGCTCTTGACACGCGCTAGAGGCACCTGAATGGGTGGGGATGAGGAGAGAGGAAGGAGAAGAATGTGAGGAGGCATGGACAGGGGAAACGTGCAATGTGCGAGCCACATTGGCTTTAAGTCCCGAGAAGGAAAAGTCGCAGCTCTTGACACGCGCTAGTGGCACCTGAATGGGTGGGGATGAGGAGAGAGGAAGGAGAAGAATGTGAGGAGGCATGGACAGGGGAAACGTGCAATGTGCGAGCCACATTGGCTTTAAGTCCCGAGAAGGAAAAGTCGCAGCTCTTGACACGCGCTAGTGGCACCTGAATGAGTGGGGATGAGGAGAGAGGAAGGAGAAGAATGTGAGGAGGCATGGACAGGGGAAACGTGCAATGTGCGAGCCACATTGGCTTTAAGTCCCGAGAAGGAAAAGTCGCAGCTCTTGACACGCGCTAGAGGCACCTGAATGGGTGGGGATGAGGAGAGAGGAAGGAGAAGAATGTGAGGAGGCATGGACAAGGGAAACGTGCAATGTGCGAGCCACATTGGCTTTAAAGCTCGCGTCTCATATTTTCTCCGTTTTACACTTGGTTGGGTTTGGGCCTCCGTGACTGGTTTGCGATTGACGAAATCTGTGAAGAGCTGAAGTAAATTTCTGCCGAAACCAATCACGGACGTGCGTACCCAACCAAGTGTTAAACGCTTGTAAATATGAGACGCGGGCTTTAAGTCCCGAGAAGGAAAAGTCGCAGCTCTTGACACGCGCTAGTGGCACCTGAATGGGTGGGGATGAGGAGAGAGGAAGGAGAAGAATGTGAGGAGGCATGGACAGGGGAAACGTGCAATGTGCGAGCCACATTGGCTTTAAGTCCCGAGAAGGAAAAGTCGCAGCTCTTGACACGCGCTAGAGGCACCTGAATGGGTGGGGATGAGGAGAGAGGAAGGAGAAGAATGTGAGGAGGCATGGATAGGGGAAACGTGCAATGTGCGAGCCACATTGGCTTTAAGTCCCGAGAAGGAAAAGTCGCAGCTCTTGACACGCGCTAGAGGCACCTGAATGGGTGGGGATGAGGAGAGAGGAAGGAGAAGAATGTGAGGAGGCATGGACAGGGGAAACGTGCAATGTGCGAGCCACATTGGCTTTAAGTCCCGAGAAGGAAAAGTCGCAGCTCTTGACACGCGCTAGAGGCACCTGAATGGGTGGGGATGAGGAGAGAGGAAGGAGAAGAATGTGAGGAGGCATGGACAGGGGAAACGTGCAATGTGCGAGCCACATTGGCTTTAAGTCCCAAGAAGGAAAAGTCGCAGCTCTTGACACGCGCTAGTGGCACCTGAATGGGTGGGGATGAGGAGAGAGGAAGGAGAAGAATGTGAGGAGGCATGGACAGGGGAAACGTGCAATGTGCGAGCCACATTGGCTTTAAGTCCCGAGAAGGAAAAGTCGCAGCTCTTGACACGCGCTAGAGGCACCTGAATGGGTGGGGATGAGGAGAGAGGAAGGAGAAGAATGTGAGGAGGCATGGACAGGGGAAACGTGCAATGTGCGAGCCACATTGGCTTTAAGTCCCGAGAAGGAAAAGTCGCAGCTCTTGACACGCGCTAGAGGCACCTGAATGGGTGGGGATGAGGAGAGAGGAAGGAGAAGAATGTGAGGAGGCATGGACAGGGGAAACGTGCAATGTGCGAGCCACATTGGCTTTAAAGCTCGCGTCTCATATTTTCTCCGTTTTACACTTGGTTGGGTTTGGGCCTCCGTGACTGGTTTGCGATTGACGATATCTGTGACGAGCTGAAGTAAATTTCTGCCGAAACCAATCACGGACGTGCGTACCCAACCAAGTGTTAAACGCTTGTAAATATGAGACGCGGGCTTTAAGTCCCGAGAAGGAAAAGTCGCAGCTCTTGACACGCGCTAGTGGCACCTGAATGGGTGGGGATGAGGAGAGAGGAAGGAGAAGAATGTGAGGAGGCATGGACAGGGGAAACGTGCAATGTGCGAGCCACATTGGCTTTAAGTCGCGAGAAGGAAAAGTCGCAGCTCTTGACACGCGCTAGAGGCACCTGAATGGGTGGGGATGAGGAGAGAGGAAGGAGAAGAATGTGAGGAGGCATGGACAGGGGAAACGTGCAATGTGCGAGCCACATTGGCTTTAAGTCCCGAGAAGGAAAAGTCGCAGCTCTTGACACGCGCTAGTGGCACCTGAATGGGTGGGGATGAGGAGAGAGGAAGGAGAAGAATGTGAGGAGGCATGGACAGGGGAAACGTGCAATGTGCGAGCCACATTGGCTTTAAGTCCCGAGAAGGAAAAGTCGCAGCTCTTGACACGCGCTAGTGGCACCTGAATGGGTGGGGATGAGGAGAGAGGAAGGAGAAGAATGTGAGGAGGCATGGACAGGGGAAACGTGCAATGTGCGAGCCACATTGGCTTTAAGTCCCGAGAAGGAAAAGTCGCAGCTCTTGACACGCGCTAGAGGCACCTGAATGGGTGGGGATGAGGAGAGAGGAAGGAGAAGAATGTGAGGAGGCATGGACAGGGGAAACGTGCAATGTGCGAGCCACATTGGCTTTAAGTCCCGAGAAGGAAAAGTCGCAGCTCTTGACACGCGCTAGTGGCACCTGAATGGGTGGGGATGAGGAGAGAGGAAGGAGAAGAATGTGAGGAGGCATGGACAGGGGAAACGTGCAATGTGCGAGCCACATTGGCTTTAAGTCCCGAGAAGGAAAAGTCGCAGCTCTTGACACGCGCTAGTGGCACCTGAATGGGTGGGGATGAGGAGAGAGGAAGGAGAAGAATGTGAGGAGGCATGGACAGGGGAAACGTGCAATGTGCGAGCCACATTGGCTTTTAAGTCCCGAGAAGGAAAAGTCGCAGCTCTTGACACGCGCTAGTGGCACCTGAATGGGTGGGGATGAGGAGAGAGGAAGGAGAAGAATGTGAGGAGGCATGGACAGGGGAAACGTGCAATGTGCGAGCCACATTGGCTTTAAGTCCCGAGAAGGAAAAGTCGCAGCTCTTGACACGCGCTAGAGGCACCTGAATGGGTGGGGATGAGGAGAGAGGAAGGAGAAGAATGTGAGGAGGCATGGACAGGGGAAACGTGCAATGTGCGAGCCACATTGGCTTTAAGTCCCGAGAAGGAAAAGTCGCAGCTCTTGACACGCGCTAGTGGCACCTGAATGGGTGGGGATGAGGAGAGAGGAAGGAGAAGAATGTGAGGAGGCATGGACAGGGGAAACGTGCAATGTGCGAGCCACATTGGCTTTAAGTCCCGAGAAGGAAAAGTCGCAGCTCTTGACACGCGCTAGTGGCACCTGAATGGGTGGGGATGAGGAGAGAGGAAGGAGAAGAATGTGAGGAGGCATGGACAGGGGAAACGTGCAATGTGCGAGCCACATTGGCTTTAAGTCCCGAGAAGGAAAAGTCGCAGCTCTTGACACGCGCTAGTGGCACCTGAATGGGTGGGGATGAGGAGAGAGGAAGGAGAAGAATGTGAGGAGGCATGGACAGGGGAAACGTGCAATGTGCGAGCCACATTGGCTTTTAAGTCCCGAGAAGGAAAAGTCGCAGCTCTTGACACGCGCTAGTGGCACCTGAATGGGTGGGGATGAGGAGAGAGGAAGGAGAAGAATGTGAGGAGGCATGGACAGGGGAAACGTGCAATGTGCGAGCCACATTGGCTTTAAGTCCCGAGAAGGAAAAGTCGCAGCTCTTGACACGCGCTAGAGGCACCTGAATGGGTGGGGATGAGGAGAGAGGAAGGAGAAGAATGTGAGGAGGCATGGACAGGGGAAACGTGCAATGTGCGAGCCACATTGGCTTTAAGTCCCGAGAAGGAAAAGTCGCAGCTCTTGACACGCGCTAGTGGCACCTGAATGGGTGGGGATGAGGAGAGAGGAAGGAGAAGAATGTGAGGAGGCATGGACAGGGGAAACGTGCAATGTGCGAGCCACATTGGCTTTAAGTCCCGAGAAGGAAAAGTCGCAGCTCTTGACACGCGCTAGTGGCACCTGAATGGGTGGGGATGAGGAGAGAGGAAGGAGAAGAATGTGAGGAGGCATGGACAGGGGAAACGTGCAATGTGCGAGCCACATTGGCTTTAAGTCCCGAGAAGGAAAAGTCGCAGCTCTTGACACGCGCTAGTGGCACCTGAATGGGTGGGGATGAGGAGAGAGGAAGGAGAAGAATGTGAGGAGGCATGGACAGGGGAAACGTGCAATGTGCGAGCCACATTGGCTTTTAAGTCCCGAGAAGGAAAAGTCGCAGCTCTTGACACGCGCTAGTGGCACCTGAATGGGTGGGGATGAGGAGAGAGGAAGGAGAAGAATGTGAGGAGGCATGGACAGGGGAAACGTGCAATGTGCGAGCCACATTGGCTTTAAGTCCCGAGAAGGAAAAGTCGCAGCTCTTGACACGCGCTAGAGGCACCTGAATGGGTGGGGATGAGGAGAGAGGAAGGAGAAGAATGTGAGGAGGCATGGACAGGGGAAACGTGCAATGTGCGAGCCACATTGGCTTTAAGTCCCGAGAAGGAAAAGTCGCAGCTCTTGACACGCGCTAGTGGCACCTGAATGGGTGGGGATGAGGAGAGAGGAAGGAGAAGAATGTGAGGAGGCATGGACAGGGGAAACGTGCAATGTGCGAGCCACATTGGCTTTAAGTCCCGAGAAGGAAAAGTCGCAGCTCTTGACACGCGCTAGTGGCACCTGAATGGGTGGGGATGAGGAGAGAGGAAGGAGAAGAATGTGAGGAGGCATGGACAGGGGAAACGTGCAATGTGCGAGCCACATTGGCTTTAAGTCCCGAGAAGGAAAAGTCGCAGCTCTTGACACGCGCTAGTGGCACCTGAATGGGTGGGGATGAGGAGAGAGGAAGGAGAAGAATGTGAGGAGGCATGGACAGGGGAAACGTGCAATGTGCGAGCCACATTGGCTTTAAGTCCCGAGAAGGAAAAGTCGCAGCTCTTGACACGCGCTAGAGGCACCTGAATGGGTGGGGATGAGGAGAGAGGAAGGAGAAGAATGTGAGGAGGCATGGACAGGGGAAACGTGCAATGTGCGAGCCACATTGGCTTTAAGTCCCGAGAAGGAAAAGTCGCAGCTCTTGACACGCGCTAGTGGCACCTGAATGGGTGGGGATGAGGAGAGAGGAAGGAGAAGAATGTGAGGAGGCATGGACAGGGGAAACGTGCAATGTGCGAGCCACATTGGCTTTAAGTCCCGAGAAGGAAAAGTCGCAGCTCTTGACACGCGCTAGTGGCACCTGAATGAGTGGGGATGAGGAGAGAGGAAGGAGAAGAATGTGAGGAGGCATGGACAGGGGAAACGTGCAATGTGCGAGCCACATTGGCTTTAAGTCCCGAGAAGGAAAAGTCGCAGCTCTTGACACGCGCTAGAGGCACCTGAATGGGTGGGGATGAGGAGAGAGGAAGGAGAAGAATGTGAGGAGGCATGGACAGGGGAAACGTGCAATGTGCGAGCCACATTGGCTTTAAAGCTCGCGTCTCATATTTTCTCCGTTTTACACTTGGTTGGGTTTGGGCCTCCGTGACTGGTTTGCGATTGACGAAATCTGTGACGAGCTGAAGTAAATTTCTGCCGAAACCAATCACGGACGTGCGTACCCAACCAAGTGTTAAACGCTTGTAAATATGAGACGCGGGCTTTAAGTCCCGAGAAGGAAAAGTCGCAGCTCTTGACACGCGCTAGTGGCACCTGAATGGGTGGGGATGAGGAGAGAGGAAGGAGAAGAATGTGAGGAGGCATGGACAGGGGAAACGTGCAATGTGCGAGCCACATTGGCTTTAAGTCCCGAGAAGGAAAAGTCGCAGCTCTTGACACGCGCTAGTGGCACCTGAATGGGTGGGGATGAGGAGAGAGGAAGGAGAAGAATGTGAGGAGGCATGGACAGGGGAAACGTGCAATGTGCGAGCCACATTGGCTTTAAGTCCCGAGAAGGAAAAGTCGCAGCTCTTGACACGCGCTAGTGGCACCTGAATGGGTGGGGATGAGGAGAGAGGAAGGAGAAGAATGTGAGGAGGCATGGACAGGGGAAACGTGCAATGTGCGAGCCACATTGGCTTTAAGTCCCGAGAAGGAAAAGTCGCAGCTCTTGACACGCGCTAGAGGCACCTGAATGGGTGGGGATGAGGAGAGAGGAAGGAGAAGAATGTGAGGAGGCATGGACAGGGGAAACGTGCAATGTGCGAGCCACATTGGCTTTAAGTCCCGAGAAGGAAAAGTCGCAGCTCTTGACACGCGCTAGTGGCACCTGAATGGGTGGGGATGAGGAGAGAGGAAGGAGAAGAATGTGAGGAGGCATGGACAGGGGAAACGTGCAATGTGCGAGCCACATTGGCTTTAAGTCCCGAGAAGGAAAAGTCGCAGCTCTTGACACGCGCTAGTGGCACCTGAATGGGTGGGGATGAGGAGAGAGGAAGGAGAAGAATGTGAGGAGGCATGGACAGGGGAAACGTGCAATGTGCGAGCCACATTGGCTTTAAGTCCCGAGAAGGAAAAGTCGCAGCTCTTGACACGCGCTAGTGGCACCTGAATGGGTGGGGATGAGGAGAGAGGAAGGAGAAGAATGTGAGGAGGCATGGACAGGGGAAACGTGCAATGTGCGAGCCACATTGGCTTTAAGTCCCGAGAAGGAAAAGTCGCAGCTCTTGACACGCGCTAGAGGCACCTGAATGGGTGGGGATGAGGAGAGAGGAAGGAGAAGAATGTGAGGAGGCATGGACAGGGGAAACGTGCAATGTGCGAGCCACATTGGCTTTAAGTCCCGAGAAGGAAAAGTCGCAGCTCTTGACACGCGCTAGTGGCACCTGAATGGGTGGGGATGAGGAGAGAGGAAGGAGAAGAATGTGAGGAGGCATGGACAGGGGAAACGTGCAATGTGCGAGCCACATTGGCTTTAAGTCCCGAGAAGGAAAAGTCGCAGCTCTTGACACGCGCTAGTGGCACCTGAATGGGTGGGGATGAGGAGAGAGGAAGGAGAAGAATGTGAGGAGGCATGGACAGGGGAAACGTGCAATGTGCGAGCCACATTGGCTTTAAGTCCCGAGAAGGAAAAGTCGCAGCTCTTGACACGCGCTAGTGGCACCTGAATGGGTGGGGATGAGGAGAGAGGAAGGAGAAGAATGTGAGGAGGCATGGACAGGGGAAACGTGCAATGTGCGAGCCACATTGGCTTTAAGTCCCGAGAAGGAAAAGTCGCAGCTCTTGACACGCGCTAGTGGCACCTGAATGGGTGGGGATGAGGAGAGAGGAAGGAGAAGAATGTGAGGAGGCATGGACAGGGGAAACGTGCAATGTGCGAGCCACATTGGCTTTAAGTCCCGAGAAGGAAACGTCGCAGCTCCTGACACGCGCTAGCGGCACCTGGATGAATGAGAGGGGAGGAGAGATGCATGGGAGATGAAAATTGCGAGGGAAAACAGGCAAGGCGGGTATGCCACGTTGGGTTAGAGAGGGCTGAAACGGGGAAGTCGCAGCTCTTGACACGCGCTAGCGGCACCTGGATGATGAGAGGGGAAGAGGTGTGGAGTGGAGAGACGTGTCGTGAGGGGAAAATCAACTGCTACTAGAAAACACAACAGTCTGCCAATAAACCAGCATTCATTTAAAGAAGCAATCATTTAGAGCGAGCAGCAATTTCTCTTACAGTGAACTTGAATCTATCTCTGTTTCCTTCTCCTGCCAGTGCCTCAACTGCTGCCCCTCCACCTCCTAACAAAGAACTTCTTCTGTTTGCTTACAGTGAACTTGAACTTCTCTCGGTTTCCTTCCTTTGCCAGCGCTTCAACTGCTGCCCCTCCGCCTCCCGGCCCCGACAAGTCCAGACCTAGCAGACGTGCTGTCTTGTCAAACGCCTGGGGGGAGAGGTGGGTATAGGTGGTTGGGGATAAAGGGGGTGAAGGGAGAGTGTGTACAGGGGAAGACGGGAAGGGGAAAAGGGGAACAGGGGAAGGGGGGAGCAGGGGGTAAAGAGAAACGCCTGCGCTTCAGCTGTTGCCTCTCCCATTCAGACGTGGCACAGAGCAGCACTGGGCATACCTTGTTCCCAGGGTTCTTTTTTACTTCACCCAGGGAATAAGCAGATGACAGGCCAGCTCCCCCCCCCCCCCCCCCCCCCCTCCTTGTTCTATCTAAAAAACAACACCTTTCTCAGTTTTCCCTCGCCAGGGAAAACCACCACTCACTCACCCCCTCAACCCATCCATTCTACCACCCCTCACCCCAACCCTCCCCATCTCACTGCGCCGTGCCCCACCGCACTCAACCTCACGTCACCCATGGCATCGTCCAGTATTGTTCCCAGCTGAATGTAGTGCCCCACCCCAAGCCATGACCCCCCCCCATCCCAAGTTCCCAACCGCACCGCATCCCACCGCACGCCACCTCACTTCACCCATGGCATCGTCTAGCGTGGTTCCCAGCTGAGTGTACTGCCCCACCCCATGTGACAATAACAAAAGGTTGTGCCCGCCTAGGTGGGGAATGGGGGGAAGGAGGGGGAGGGGGGGGAGAACATGTGACAATAACAGAAGTTTGTGATTATAAGAAGGACTTTGAGTCTGGCTCTACTGGACTTCAAGGCAGAAAGGGAAGCTTTTGAGAATTCGCAGAATGGCAAGTCAGGCAACGAAATCCTTTTGTGTCAGCAAGCCTAGTAACGAGTACAAGCTTTAAAAAGCACACCTTTAAAGTAGCGAGCCTAGCGACGCACCTGATATCAAAAGCGTGAGGAATGGAAAGGTGACATCAGGATTGGTCAGCCTGGAAGAGGGGGAGGGGGGGGGGGAGCATAAAGGACAGAAATTTACGTTAGATGCGCATCTTTGCACGAGCACCACACCCCACTGCACCTGATATCAAAAGCGTGAGGAATGGGAAGGTGACATCAGGATTGGTAAGCCTGGAGGAAGGGGGAGGAGAGAGAGGGAGGGGGGGGGGGGGGGGGGAGGGGGGAGCAAAAAGGACAGAAATTTACGATAGATGCGCATCTTTGCAGGAGCGCCACACCTCCACAGGTACGCTTGTGGGAATGATGTAGACATCTTTGCACTGCACCTCCTGATGTCAAAAGCGTGAGGAATGGAAAGGTGGCATCAGGATTGGTCAGCCTGGAAAGGAGGGGAAGGGGTTGAAAACCGGGAAACTTGGTCAGACAAGGAATGTATGGCAATTGAGAAATTTCATTGACGTAGGAATCTTATGAGTCACACATGGGGAGCGGAAACACGAGTCCTATGAAACCTCGGACCTGTGCTCATGAAAAAGTAACCCTTGAAACATGAGTCCTGTGAAACCTGGTCAAACAAGGGAAAAAAGGGGAGCTCGTCTTTGGTGTGGATGATGGGGGTGATGGGGGGGGTGATGGGGGGGGTGATGGGGGTGATGGGGGTGATGGGGGTGATGGGGGTGATGTGATGTGATGGGGGTGATGGGGGTGATGGGGGTGATGGGGGTGATGGGGGTGATGTGATGTCATGGGGGTGATGGGGGTGATGGGGGTGATGGGGGTGATGGGGGTGATGTGATGTGATGGGGGTGATGGGGGTGATGGGGGTGATGTGATGTGATGGGGGTGATGGGGGTGATGTGATGTCATGGGGGTGATGGGGGTGATGGGGGTGATGGGGGTGATGGGGGTGATGGGGGTGATGGGGGTGATGGGGGTGATGGGGGTGATGGGGGTGATAGGGGTGATGGGGGTGATGGGGGTGATGGGGGTGATGGGGGTGATGGGGGTGATGGGGGTGATAGGGGTGATGGGGGTGATGGGGGTGATGGGGGTGATGGGGGTGATGGGGGTGATGGGGATGATGGGGGTGATGGGGGTGATGGGGGTGATGGGGGTGATGGGGATGATAGGGGTGATCGGGGTGATGGGGATGATGGGGGTGATGGGGGTAATGGGGGTGATGAGGGTGATGAGGGTGATGGGGGTGATGGGGGTGATGGGGGTGATGTGATGTGATGGGGGTGATGGGGGTGATGGGGGTGATGGGGGTGATAGGGGTGATGGGGGTGATGGGGGTGATGGGGGTGATGGGGGTGATGGGGGTGATGGGGGTGATGGGGATGGTGATGGGGGTGATGGGGATGATGGGGGTGATGGGGGTGATGGGGGTGATGAGGGTGATGGGGGTGATGGGGGTGATGGGGGTGATGGGGGTGATAGGGGTGATGGGGGTGATGGGGGTGATGGGGGTGATGGGGGTGATGGGGGTGATGGGGGTGATGGGGGTGATGGGGATGGTGATGGGGGTGATGGGGATGATAGGGGTGATCGGGGTGATGGGGATGATGGGGGTGATGGGGGTGATGGGGGTGATGAGGGTGATGGGGGTGATGGGGGTGATGAGGGTGATGGGGGTGATGGGGATGATGGGGGTGATGTGATGTGATGGGGGTGATGGGGGTGATGGGGGTGATGGGGGTGATGGGGGTGATGGGGGTGATGGGGGTGATGGGGGTGATGGGGGTGATGGGGATGATGGGGGTGATGGGGGTGATGGGGTGATGGGGTGATGGGTTGATGGGTTGATGGGTTGATGGGTTGATGGGGTGATGGGGTGATGGGGTGATGGGGGGGGTGATGGGGTGATGGGGTGATGGGGGTGATGGGGGGATACCATATGTAGGCATGTCGATAGGATAGGAACGATGTATACAGGACAAACAACACCCACCTGGCCACTAGCGCGTGTGCTTCCATGTGGTGGATGGGGATGGTGGGGATGGTGAGCAGGCCATGCAGTGCTGCCCTCATATGAGAGCAGGTAGGCAAGGCAGGAAGGTAGGTACATTTCTCATCTCACCTGCCCACCAGCGCGTGTGCTTCCATGTGGTGGATGGGGGTGATGGGGATGATGGGGATAATGGGGATAATGGGGATGATGGGGATGATGGGGATGATGGGGATGATGGGGATGATGGGGATGATGGGGATAATGGGGATGATGGGGATGATGGGGATGATGGGGAGAATGGGGATGATGGGGATAATGGGGATGATGGGGATAATGGGGATGATGGGGAGCATGTAAAATAACCCACCTTGCCACCAGCGCGTGTGCTTCCATGTGGTGGATGGGGATGATGGGGATGCCATGCTGTGAAGCCATCCTCCTGGCCTTCATCACTCCCACTGCCATGAAAAAAAAAAACACAATCATTCATGCATGGATGCATGCATGCACACAGTGGCTCAACGATGAGAAAATTATAATAGTTTTGAGACGTCTCAAAACTACTCTGTTTACACGTGCTTGCATGCACACAGTAGCTCTAAGATGAGGAAATCATCACAGAGCGTTGATGAAGGCCACCGGCCGAAACGCGCGTACGCTCAGGTTTGAATGAAAATTTCTTACCTATTCAATCCCTACTAGCCTAAGCTCAGCCTAGAGGAGATTAGGAGGAGATAAGGACGAGTTACCTGTTGGATCCAGGTCGAAACTGTCTTTCTATGCTTGCATGCACACAGTAGCTCAAAGATGAAAAAATCATAACGGATGAGATGAAAAATCAAAAGAGGAGAAACGTGGGAGAGAAAAGGAAGGATGCTGAGGTGACGGCAGTGAGTGATGGAGCAGAGACCCACCTCTCAAGCACAGGCTGAGCCCTGGGCCAATCGTGACCGCTACTGCAGAGAGATCCGACGGCTGTAAGCCAGCCTCATCCAAAGCTGCTTGAACGACCTGGGCGAGCGAATGGGAACAGGAAGAAACAAGAGGATGATTATATACTTCATAGTCTCAAATTAATATATGATGCGAGATGGAAAGCAAGTGGAGGGGATATGGTGACAAGGTAACAAAAGGGTGGTGCGTGCATGCAAGGGAGTGACGCGCATGAATGGAGGAAAGGAAGCCAAGCCATTCACAAAGGATCAGTGCCAACGATTATAAATATGACATGTGTTTCATGAAAGAAAAGAAAAGAAAGAAAGAAAGAAAGAAAAGATAGCTGAAAGCAACAATTATATTTCAACTGCTAGGACGGGCACTAAAATTAAGAAGAATACCGGGTCTATTGCCTTTTCATGCTCTCCACGTGCCAATGATGGCACCACTCCCCCCCATTCCGCGTGCACCTTGCCCTGTCAATGGGAATCGGGAAGGAGGAAAAGGGGGAGGGGGGGAGCGGCATAGGGAGGGGGGAAGGAAAGAGGGAATAGGGATGGGAAAAAGGGGGCATAATCCGTGCAAAGGCGTATGGGTTTATAAAGTATCACACAATACCAAGTGGTCTATGCTCCACACTGCATGGCACTGCATGGCACTGCATGGCACTGCATGGCACTGCATGGCACTGCATGGCATGGCATGGCTCTACATCCAATCCAAGGATATGCATGGCATGGCTCTAAAAGGATCAACATGGCACTGCAAGGCTCCACATCGCTCTGTTTCCTGTGATGCGACTTTTGAGTCGACTCAAAAGTACATCCAAGGATATGCATGACATGGCTCTAAAAGGATCAACATGGCACTGCAAGGCTCCACATCGCTCTGTTACCTGTGATGCGAGGGCCTCCCCCAGAATACGCCCATCGGATGTGACCTGCAGCAGGCAGGCATGGGGTGAAGAAAGGAAGAGAGAAAAGGTGAGACTACATGGTTCTGTTACCTGCCTGTGAACCTGTGATGCGATGCGAGGGCCTCCCTTAGAATACGCCCATCGGATGTGACCTGCAGCAGGAAAGAAAGGGATGAGTGAAGAAGGTTCATTAAGGAGAGATATAATATATTAAGGACCAAACAAACTTGATGCGAGGGCTTCCCCGAAAATTCGCCCATCAGATGTGACCTACTACAGCAGGCAAGCAGGGGGTGAGTGGAGACGCACGATTGGCTTAGGCTCCCTGACACTAAACTCGGTCGAAACCTTCAGCAGGCAAGGAGCGGAAGCTTATTGGGGAGCAATGAGGCAGGTAAAGGTCAACAAACTCTGTTGATCACGACCCAAAATCGCCATGGATAATCTCTCCGGTTCTCCAATGACACTCACTCACGTGTAAGCTCAGATTATTTAGATTCCAAAAAACACATTGATGCCAACACGGGTATTCGAACCAGGGAGCATTCTAGGAGCCTCAGACAATTGTTCTCCTGTGTCCTGTCACACTCACTCACCACAGCAGCCCCTGTGTCGTCACAACTCGTCTCAATCCCGAGAATCACAATATTTCCGCCATTGGGGTTCGAACCCGGGTCACTCATCCCACTCGGCACCTCTTGCCCCTTCCCCTTTGCCCTATCAGCAACATCACCAGCACTCTGAGACGTCTCAGAACTCTCCCCTGCCACGTCAGCAGCATCAACCACGGTACTCCTGCGGCTTCCGATCAGTCTATTCTTATTAGCAGAAAGGCCTGCTATGTGGTAACCCCACGTGTGGTAACCCCTCGAGTGGTAACCTGACGTGGGGTAACCCCCCACTGCGCTCGCCCCCTTGAATCCCGAACCCGTATCTCCCCAAGCTCGCTGTGTTTGCAGGCCAACGACCTGCTGCCACGTGGCATGTTTCCTCGGACGCGAGGGCAACAGAAATCTCTGTAACGGGTTGTGACGAGATAGCAAGGGACTCGCGGGAGGTCCTATCGAGGGTACCTTGCGAGTCCCTTGCTATCTCCGCGATAGAAGCTTCCTCCGTACCATGGAGCCCAGGTCGTGTTTCCACCTGTCGGGCGCATTCAGACGCATTCAGAAGTATGAGTCTCAGGGGATGTCCCTGAGTACGCACCTGTCTTGCACATCTTTGCTCTCAAAACCTGCACTTGAAAAAATAAGATTGTAGGGTCTCATCTGACCTTTCATCACCAAATCTACAATGAAAACATACCCCGAGTTGCAACTGGATCGAAATTTGATACGTAACGAGAGGTTAAGTACGTTTGATAACGTTAAAATGTGGTAAAACACGGTACATGGCGTTTGTCGTAAAAATTATGCTTCCACCTTCACACTACTCTCGCCTTCAGCTGCTCTCTTCCCTGCTGCTTGCACCTCTGCTTCACGAGGCAGATTTTTCTTAGGAGATTCTCAGATCACCAACGCCGTCCTTTTCGCCGGCTCGCCTGCTCGCGTCTTTCGTACCTTTCTCCGACCGTGAGTTTTTTTGTTGCTGTAAAGCCGCTGGCAATGGCGTCACCTTGCCTACACCTCTCGTCCACGCCTAATCTCAGAAATATGTTAAACGCCGCGCTAGAGACTAGGGGAGCCCTTTCTTCATCTCAGATCGTGGATCGGACGGCTGCCGGCGATTCTGGCGATCAGAATATTTCCGCGCCGTCAGAACTGCCGGCGAAGTTCAAACAGTACGCATCCACAGCAGACGGCGATGCGATTCCGTACGCCGTGGTCCGCGCCGCGTGGTCCGCTTTACGGGAGCGGCACGGGTTGGATCGCAGCGACCGCAGCGACCAGAGCGAAGAGAGTGGTAACACAAGGACGGGTCAGATTTCGCCGAGCGACAGCTGCGAGACGAGCGAAGTGAACGAGTCAGAAGAACGGGAGGAAGCCTCAGGCGTTACTTCTCAAGGCACTGCGAGCAGCACTGGCAACACGAGTAACGATACTGCGAGTAGCAACGGCAGTGCTGCCAGGTGCAGCGGAAACGGGAGGAGCAATGGCAGTGCAAGCAACGGCGCTGCGAGCAGCTACAAGCGCCCTGATTGGCTTCTGCACGAGGTGCTGCAGGGCTGCCAGGTGTTGCTACCTGCTCCACCCGAGCCTCCGAAGAAGGTACGGCCGGACATACAATCTTGGCTCGGATTGACAGCTCAGAGCTCGTTGTTTATTCTCTTTTTTTCACCTTTCTCCTGTTTAGAGTCCATCTTGTGTGTTCCTCACTTCATCTTCGCGAATAGCTCTCAATTGAATCTTCCCGCTCTCCTCTTCTTTCGGCACCCCATCCCTCTGTTGTCCTTCAGAGTGCGGAGCTGGAAGCTTGTCTGGCTGCTCTCAAGGAAGAAAAGGAGCAGAGGTGGTACAGAGAGCTTTCTATCACCACTTCCCTTTCTCCCTTACCTCCACTTATCATCTCACAGAGTGCGGAGCTGGAAGCTCGTCTGGCTGCTCTCAAGGAAGCGGAGGAGCAGAGGCGGTATAGAGAGCTCGTGAGAGATGTGGTTCCCAAGGGAGCAAAAGGGAGAGGCGCAGGTGGTGGTGTTGATGATGAGGAGGACTTCGGAGGGCAGGGGGGAAGCTCGTACCTGGCTTCGTACAGAGAGCAGCTCGGGTTCGGTAAGTTCATTTTCCTTTTTTTTTTTCCAGATTGTTTTACTGTCGGTTCCTATGAAGCGGCACATTCATTGCCTGCCACTGCTCCCGTTGTCTGGAAGTTTCGGTCTTTTTTTTTTTTTTGGCACCTCTAAATTTGCTTGCCACTGCTGCCGTTGGCTGGCGGTTTTGGTCAACAATGAGTTTCATGATGACGTTTGAGCCGACGCAAATTTCACTATTTGCCACTGTCACGTTCGGCCAGCTCTGCTGAGATTTGAGTTTTGTGGTTTTGGTGGGCGTTTTAGGCTGAGTCTCCTAAACGATTGCGTTGAAAGAATTCGTGGCATCCTTTCTTGCCTTTATCTGATTTTATTTATTTCCTTCGTTTATCCTTCATCCCCGTCCCGAGCTGCTTTCCCTTGAAGCCCTCCCTGCATACACACCTCCTTTTTGTTTGAATTTTCGGTCATCTTTTCTTCATTCCATTCCGAGCAGGCATGCATGTGGTGGGTGTGATGTTCACCTGTTACCTCTTGGGTCACTTCGCTGCTTCTGCTCTTATCAAAGACCAACCTGCCCTGGTGAGCCCACTAGTAAGCTCCCTTGGTAAGCTCCCCTGGTAATTCCCTAGGCAAGCTCCCTTGGTAAGCTCCCTTGGTAAGCTCCCTTGGTAAGCTCCCTTGGTAAGCTCCCTTGGTAAGCTCCCTTGGCAAGCTCCCTTGGTGCTCCCTTGGTGCTCCCTTGGTAAGCTCCCTTGGCAAGCTCCCTTGGTAAGCTCCCTTGGTAAGCTCCCCTAGTAAGCTCTCTTGATAAGCATCATGCTGTGGGCTATGGCAGTCTGGACCAGAATCAATCCTTCCTCAGTGATGGTGGGTATGATATTGATCAGGTTCTTTGAGTGTACTTCACGTGTTCAGAGTGCCTTTTCAACCACCATGCCCTCTTCCCCTCCCCCCCCCCCCCCCCCCCCCCATATGGTAGCATGTCGTAAGAGGTGCATGCAAACACCCTGACTCAACCTCCTTGTTTCCTGCCCCCTGCGTTCCTATTTCGCTCTCACATGGCAGCACCCAGTGGGAGGTGCAGTGGGTTTGATATTCGGCATGCTGCTAGAAACCACACTCTTCATAATCCGTACGACGCAGCTCGAGGAGAAACAAGCTAAGCAACGCAGCAAGAAGGCTGCTAGAAAGCATGGAGTGTCAGTGCCATCACTAACTGCAGGGCGGGCTTCTAGCCAAGGGACCCAGACAGCACATAAGAGTGTTAGTAATGTTTCTGTGGGTTCTGAGGAGTTGGATGCAGTGCGGCAAGAGCTGATTGAACTGGCAGGGAGACGGCAGAAAGGAGCTGGCGTGTCAGGCTCTTCAGGGGTTTCCATGGTGAGGAGGCGGAATGTGCGGCAAGCTGATGGTGACTAGATTGGCCGCACAGCATCCATTGCTTGGTTGACCTCGGATTCCTATTGTTGTTTTGCCCCACAATTCAGTCAGTATGATTTCTCCTGACTGGCCATGAGGAAAAGGGACATTTGCACAACATTGCTTGGAGCCAGCTCAAATTTCCCAAGCACTCAGCCCACACCCTCCACTGCCATGTGACTTGGCAAAGGAACGGGGGATACGCTGAAATAGCAAGGAATAGTCCACTTCGTCAAATCAGAACAAGGGATATTCCTAGGGAGGGCAAACCGCGGCAGCCACATCCGCTCCAGCAATCCGCCTATGTGCAAACAATTGATATACAAGACTCAAATCTAGCCTGCTGCGACAGAGCATGCGACGATTACTGCGACTCAGCAAAATAGCTTAATCCTCATAAATCCTGCACTCGTCAGCAGCGGGGTTGTCGTCGCAGAACGCGTCAAGAGGGTCCGTGTATGCTTCCTTCTTCTCCTCAGTCTTCTCAGCAGCAGCAGCAGCAGCCTCCTCTGCCTTGGCCTTCTCCTCCGCAGCCTTCTTCTCCTCAGCCTCCTTGGCTTCAGGCTGAGCCATGGCGACAATGCGGACAGAACGGACGCTGCGGACAGAGAGCGAGGAGGACTTCAGGGAGGCGGTCTGGACGAAAGAGCTGCGCCTGAAGGCGACAGCGGAAGAAACACCGGCGGAGACCGCGAGAATGGCAGCCATTGCTAAATAGTTACTAAAATACGGTCTCCTGACGGTATTTGGAGTAAGAATGGATGGAACACCCTAGAATATGCGTGACCAGACAAGAAACTAGAATGCGTCTTGCCTTGAAACGCCAATGTCTTTCGTTGGAGGAGTATTCAAGCTCAACCAAAGATTGACGGACAAGCTGACGGAGTTCCTGAAAACGGACGGAATTGCTGACGGTTTCGCGAGTTCCTGCCTGTGCTGAAGCTGGTCTCGAGTGCTGCACCTTCGTGGCTTGACGATGGTACACGTGGTGGATATTGCCACGCTCGGAAAAGCAGAGGGCATGGACACCCCTGGAAAAATTCGATCTGACACGTGGAATAGACTGGGGCCAAGAAAGTCGAGAAAGATGGCCAGACCGAGGTCGAATTGCCACGCTGGCGAGGTGGAAGTCTCCGAAACTAATCCAATCCAGGTCACTTGCTGAAACCCCCCCCACCCCCTCCCATAACTGCATCTGCGAATTCGAGCTCCAAGACATAGATGCAGTCCGGTGCTTTACAATTTCATGATAAAAGGATTTGGTTTGGCGAACTCAATCCACGAGACCAGTGCCTTCGCGGTGTAACAAATTCCGGTACAACACAATGTGAATGCGCGATATACAATCATATCAGGAACCGGAAATATTATGAGAAGCAGCAGCATGAGAATTAAATTATCTTCCAGTACCTGGGCACGGCGCTGGTGATGAAATTATCAGTAGGCGTTGATGATGAACTTATTAATCAGGTACATTGATGTAAGAGCTGGTGAGTGATGTGCCTCTGATAAAAACTACGTTCCTCCCCTGCTTCAATTCAGCTGCTGAGAGTGGCAACAAGAGACCCAACAAATTGGACGGCACCAACACCCTGAAACCGCAACGCCTACTGTGTTTACGAAGAGGACATACTGGTAGCCTTCACTACCATTGTGAACTGGCCTGTCAGATCAAACCAAAAGTTATTCATGAACAGCAAAACGAACAGGCATAGCTCAGCCCTTGCCAAGTAAAGATCCGTCTATGGACATCATGGCTAGGCTAATCTGACTGACTAAAAACCCACATGTAAACTACCAGTCGATCGCTCAGTCAGAGTAGATCCTGCACTCATCCTCAGAAGGATTCTCGTTGCAGTACTTCTCAAGCGGATCCTCGTAATCCGCTGCCTTCTGCTTCAAAGCCTGATCAGCAGCGGCAGCTGAGATCTCCTCCACCTCATCCCACGCAGCAGCGCACTCAGCGGTGGAGTTCGGATCAGAGCAGGTTTCTTGAGCAGCTGCGATCTTCTCCTGAATCTCCTTCTTCAGATCAGGCTGGGCCATAGCCACGATGCGGACGGCACGGGTGCTGCGAACATTGACGGGCTTCGCAGACAACTTCAGAGAAGAAGTCTGGACGAACGAGCTCGAGAGAGCAGCAGCAGAGACCGACGCGAGAGCAGCCATGATTAACTACGACGCGTTGATGCAATGATCGAGTCGGTCTAGAAGCCGGGTTATGGCGGGAAAGCTGTGAGCTAATCTTGCCTGTGCGAACTGCAAAAAGGGTTCGAACTTTCAAGCAATTATAAACTGTTCCTCCCCTTGGTTGTCCTCCTTGGCAGGCGGAAATATTTCATAGTCTCCTGCGTCCAACAAACGGGTGCGGGGTTTGGATGGTCGAAGAGTGTTTCCGCAAGGTGAAATACATTTCCAGGGGATGTAACGGGGCTATCAAACCGCGCAAACGGTGAGCTGTCCCGCATGAAGGCAGCTCCCCTGTTGTGGCGCCGCCGACATCCAGAATGCGCTGGAAAGTCCAAGAGGTACGGGGAAGCAACGCGGTAAAAGGCCGGGACAGCGAAGCATTACAAGATTTGTTTTATTAGAAGCATGTCTCGATTACCTAAAAGCACGTCCAATATCAGCATGCTGTTTGATAGGCTTTGTTCAATATAATGCATTTGATACAGGTTCTTAATCCCATAATTTGCTACCATGTGTACACGTCACACATGCCTTTGGAACCGTTGGGAACAGAATCACTATCTGTTTATTCATCTGAGTCTACTCTTATGGGATAGCTAATACACTATTGTAACGAGCCATACCGTCACATCCTGTACATAGACCTTGCACACACGTTAACTACGGACTTTACAAACTATAAACACGTATACATGACCGTACGTGCGACAGTTTTTATATTATAGCATATGCACCCACACTTGCTTATGATGACCCTCGTCACCAGCAGCAGTATCCACATCATCCAAGCCAGCATCCACCATACCATCACCTCCATCTCCCTTCCTCCCACTTCCATCCCCCTTCTCTTCACCCAAAACCAACGCCTCATCCTCATCAATCCCCCCACCCCCACCCCCACCCCCAAAGCCAAACCCACTTCCGAACCCACTCCCTAGCCCAAATCCCCCGGACCAACTCCCCCCACCTATCCACTCCCCATCTCCATTATACCTCCTCACATACTCCTCTCCCCCCACCTCTCCTCCCTTGAACCCTGCCAAATACACATCACCTCCGGATGATCCCCCATACAGCTGCTGCTGCCCCTCCCCCTCCTCCTCCCTCCTCCTCCAACTGCTGTACCCCATATAAGTCAGGTACGATACAAGGCACAGGAGTGTGAGAGAAAGGAGAACAAGCAGAGCGATGGTATAACCAGGCATGGAGGAACCAGTTGACGGGCTCGTACCACTGTTACTGCCACCAGTAGTACCACCACCACTGCTGCTGCTGCCGCTACCACTGCCGCTACCACTGCTGCTACCACTGCTGCTGCTCTCGCCTGCCGCCTCAGCTTGGCTCTTCACTCCAAAGTCCCCGATCTCCCCACTGACCTGATTCAAGGCATCAAACGCAGCAGGAGCTGAGTAGTCACCTGCCTCTTTCACCCCTGCTGCATTGCCATTGCCAGCACCACCACCGCCACCACCACTGCCACCGCCACCACCAGCACCAGCACCACCAGCAGCAGCACCAGGCAGAGGTCCCGGGCGGGAGATTTGAGTGAGGTCGAGAGTGAAGCGCTCCACGTGCCGCTCCTCCCAGCGGGCCTTCTCCTGCCACGTCACGCCCTCCAGATTTACAATGCTGTAGGTGGGTGGGGCTACAGATTTCAAGCGCTCGCCTGTAGCCGGGTTGAATGATACCTGGAGGTGATGGGGGGAGGGAGGGGGAAGGAGATGAGCCACCAGCACCAGCAGCGCCACCAGCAGCAGCACCGGGCAGGGGACCTGGGCGGGAGATTTGAGTGAGGTCGAGAGTGAAGCGCTCCACGTGCCGCTCCTCCCAGGGGGCCTTCTCCTGCCACGTCACGCCCTCCAGATTTACAATGCTGTAGGTCGGTGGGGCTACAGATTTCAATCGCTCGCCTGTAGCCGGGTTGAAGGATACCTGGTGATGGGGGGGAGGAGGATGAAGAGAGTGAACCGCTCCACGTGCCACTCCTCCCAGCGGGCCTTTTCCTGCCACGCCACGCCCTCCAGATTCACAATGCTGTAGATTGGTGGGGCCACAGATTTGAGCCGTTCACCTGTAGCTGGGGTGAATGAGAGCTGGTGGTGGAGGGATGGATGGGGGCGGTGGGAGGACATTCGAAAGAAGGTTGGTTTTGAGACGTCTCAAAACCACAATGCGGTCGGTCAGAGGGGCTACAGATTTCAATCGCTCGCCTGTAGCTGGGGTGAATGAGACCTGGTTGTGGTGGAGGGATGGATGGGGGCGGTGGGAGGACAACTGAGACGTCTCAAAACCACAATGCGGTCGGTCGGAGGGGCTACAGATTCACAATGCTGTAGGTCGGTGGGGCAACAGATTTCAAGCGCTCGCCTGTAGCTGGGTTGAACGAGACCTGGTTGTGGAGGGGGGTTGCATGGGGACAGTGGGAGGAAGGACAATGCTGTAAGTTGGTGGGGCTACAGATTTCAATCGCTCGGCTGTAGCTGGGGTGAATGAGACCTGGTGGTGGTGGGGTGGATGGGACCAGTGGAAGTACAATGCTGTCGGTCGGTGAGGCTACGGTTTTGAGCCACAAACCTGTAGCTGGGTTGAAGGATACCTGGTGGTGGTGGGGTGGATGGGGACAGTGAAAGTACAATGCGGTCGTTCCCGTGAAGTCGGGGCTACAGACCTGAGCTGCTCACCTGTAACCGAGGTAACTTTTGAGTCGACTCAAAAGCCACCTTGGGGACAGTGAAAGTACAATGCGGTCGTTCCCTTGAAGTCGGGGCTACAGACCTGAGCCGCTCACCTGTAACGGTCATTTTTTAGTCGACTCAAAAATCAACTGGAGGTGGTGGGGTGGATGGGGACAGTGGGAGAACAATGCGGTCGTTCCCTTGAAGTTGGGGCAACAGACTTGAGCCACTCACCTGTAGCCGTGTCTGAAGTCGGTCATTCATGTGACGTTTTGCATCCCCCCGGCACACCTCTGAAGCACGCCAGCACACCCCTCCCCAGCACAAGTGCCACTTGCAAATACATACACACAACATACAAACATATACACTGACGCTTGCCCTTCTCACCTGTCTCATTCAAAGACATTCCAGCTGCTCGCTGGAGTGTCTTTGAATCAGCTCCCCAGCACAAGTGCCACTTGCAAATACATACATACAACATACAAATATGTCAGATTATGTATGCTATATATGTTTAGGCTGTAGTGGGGTAGCCAATATGGGGTACAACCCCTACTAGGGTTTGATATTTGTACCCAACTCTTCCATAGTTCATTTCATTCCTGCCTATACTTCTGACATGGTTTCAGAGCAGTAGGTCCGTAGGACCGTCTTTATTTCGGGCCCACCTACCGCTACCCCACGAATGTGCCTGTCACTGTACCTAGGACGTGCTGCGCTGCGCGCACTGTCTGCCTGCTGCCTGCTGTCTACTGTCTGAGCTGTCTGCTGCTGCTTCGCGCGCAGACCTAATTCTAGCGCGCTGCCTCGTTTTTACCCCCGCGGGTCGCCCCCTCCTGCCCGAATCGCGCCTCGGCAGCCGCGTCGCGTCCCGCGCACGGCCCGCGCAGCCCGCGTCGAGCCCGCGCAGCACGCGCGAGGCCCGCAGCTGCCCCGCGCAGCCCGCCCCGAGCCCGCGCGACGCGCGCGCGGCCCACACCTGCCCCGCGCGGCCCGTACCGAGCCCGCGCAGCGCGCGCGCGGCCCGCCGCTGCCCCGCGCAGCCCGCCCAGAGCCCGCGCGGCGCGTCCGCGGCCCGCAACGCGCTGCGCGCCGTCCGCGCAGCCCCCGCCGCGCTCTGCCCGCCAGTGCGCCACCCTACCACCGCCACGGCCTCGCCCTGCCGCCGACACGGCCCCGCCCTGCCGCTGACACGACCCGGCCCCGCCCTGCCGCCGACACGGCCCCGCCCTGCCGCTGACTCGACCCGGCCCTACAGCAACTGCCGCGGCCCTGACCTGCCGCTGTCGTGGCCCCAGCCCTGCAGCTGACGCGGCCCTTCACTGTAGCCGCTGTTGCGGCCCCGCCGTCGCCGCCGTCGTGCGCCGACCCTGCCGCCGTCCGCCGAGCACCGGCCCTGCTCGCCCGGTGAGCGCCTGCTCTTCCCGCCACTGGTGAGCACCTGCCTTGTTAGCGCGCTGCCGCGCCGCCTGCCTGCCTGCCTGCCTGCCTGCCGACCTGCCTGCCGGCCTGCCTGCCTGCCTGCCTGCCTGCCAGCCTGCCTGTCGCGCCTGCCCTGCACGCGCTGCTGCTGCTACTACTGCTATTGCTGCTGCTACTGACGGTGGCCAGATGCAGCTCCAGCGACGTCCGCGTGAGTCCCTCACGCCCCAGCAGCTTAGTGAGTGGTCACTAGTTGGGGTTGTAGGGGTGGCCGCGCTGCTACTGCTGCTACGGCTGTTACTGTTGCTACTACTGCTACTACTGCTACTGCTGCTACTGGCGGTGGCCAGATGCAGCTCCAGCGACGTCCGCGCGAGTCTCGCACGCCCCAGCAGCTTCGTGAGTGGTACGCTCAGAGTAGAGGGTCTCTCAGTACCGTTCGCTGCCCTTACGTCATTCGCACTGATGCTCGGACTGGTCAGACTTGCGGGACGCTTAGTCACACACAGTCCCGCTGCTTCGCCCGTCTGAGCGACGCCTGGCGTACCGAGTTTGGCGACGAGGCTGAGCTCCCCGACTGGGTGGAGCTGCTTGGGCAGAGGGTAGATATCTTTGCTCTTGACTATGATGCTATTCTCACTGCCATGTATGCATTGCCTACTAGTGCTGACCGTGCCTGTTACCTGTGCGTACCGCCTGACCCAGGTATAGAGCCTGCTGCTCTAGGTGCTGGTGAGACTGCTGCTCTAGGTGCTAGTGCGTCTCCTGCTCTAGGTGCTGGTGAGGCTGCTGCTCCAGGTGCTGGTGAGTCTGCTCTCTCTGGTACTTCGCCTGCTGCGACCTTGCACACCTTCACCCTTGACTCAGGAGCTTCCCGCTCCTTCTTTCGCGACTGCACCACACTCACGCCGCTTAGTCGGCCAGTTGCAGTCTCCCTGGCAGACCCCTCTGGGAGTCCAGTCCTTGCCCACTACTCCACGGTTCTGCCGTGTCCGGCCGCCCCGTCTGGCTTGCTGTCAGGTCTCTACCTCCCCTCGTTCTCTACGAACCTGGTGAGTGGAGCTGTCCTCCAGGATGGGGGGGTTGACCAGTTCACTCCTGCGAGTCAGCGAGTGACTCACTGTACGTGTGCTCGGACGGGCCGACACCTGGCCACGTTTACCCGTGAGCCTGACTCGAGCCTGTACACCCTGACTACTGAGTCCCCTCAGGTAGCTGCGTCTGCGTCTGCGTCAGGTCAGTTGTCGCCCCCCTGCTCGTGTCGCGCCTTGTCGCATCAGACCCTCCTTTGGCACCACCGCCTTGGTCACCCCTCGGTGCAGCGCCTTCGCAGCATGCACCGTCGTGTCCTTGTCTCTGGTCTTCCCAGGGTTCTCCCTCCCCTCCCACCCTCGCCTGCTCCTCCCTGTCTTCCCTGTGTCGAGGGGCGGCAGCGCGCCGCTCCTCAATCCTCCTCGTTCCCTCCCATAGAGGCTCCCCTGCAGACTCTCCACCTGGACGTGTGGGGCCCAGCCCGCGTCCGTGGACAGGGCCACGAGCGGTAGTTCTTGCTGGTCGTCGACGACTACACGCGTTACACCACGGTCTTCTCCTTGCGCACCAATGGTGAGGTCCCTGATGTTTTGATCCCTTGAATCCGCGCTGCTCGTCTCCAGCTCCGCGAGCGGTTTGGGACGGAGTTTCCCGTTCTTCGTCTGCACTCTGACAGAGGTGGTGAGTTTTCCTCCGACCTCTTGGCAGCCTTCTGTGAGGAGCACGGCATCACCCAGTCGTTCACGCTTCCGGCCTCTCCGCAGCAGAATGGGGTTGCTGAGCGCCGCATTGGCTTGGTCATGGAGGTCGCTCGTACCTCCATGGTCCATGCGGCTGCCCCCCATTTTCTGTGGCCGTTTGCGGTCCGGTACGCCGCGCATCAGCTCAACCTCTGGCCCCGTGTCTTCTTGCCGGAGACCTCGCCCACACTACTGTGGACGGGGAAGGTTGGCGATGCGTCGCGTTTCCGAGTCTGGGGTTCTCGTGCCTTTGTCCGCGATACCACCGCGGACAAGCTCTCCGCCCGCGCTGTTCCCTGTGTCTTCCTTGGCTTTGTCCCTGACGCGCCTGGTTGGCAGCTTAACCACCCCACCTCGCGCCGTGTCTTCCCCTCTCAGGACGTCACGTTTGACGAGTCGGTTCCTTTTTACCGTCTCTTCCCCTACCGCACTTGAGCTGGGAGTGGTACTGGTCCCGGAGGTGCTCGTACTGGAGGTACTGGAGCTGCTGGGGCTGGAGGTGCTGCTGAGCCGGAGGCTACTACTGCTGGTGACCCTGGAGCTGGGGGTGCTGCTGCTGGAGACACTGAGGCTGGAGACCCTGGGACTGGAGGTGCCGGTTCGGGGGGTGCTGCTGCTGGTGGAGCTGGTCCTGGAGGAGCTGGAGCTGAGGGTTCTGGAGCTGCTGGAGGTACTGGAGCTCCTGGTGCTGGTGACACTGCCCAGCCGCGCCAGTTCTTTGCTCCGTCGTCTCAGCCACCGCCTGACTCTGTGCTTCGCCAGGTTCTTAGTCTCCCTTCGTCTACTGGTCTTCCGTTACAGCCTGGCTTACGCTGCCTGCTCCTTCTCCTTACACTGAGCAGTCAGGGAGTCGTACTGAGCGTCGTGAGCCTGCGTCGCGTCCTGTTTCGCCTGTCCGGTCTGGTCGTTCCGGTCGTAGTGTCCCTCGTTCGCGTCAGCCGACTGTCCCCGGCACCCGCCTTGTCGTCCGTCGTCCTTCCTCTCCTACGCAGCGTGTTCCCCTGCCTTCCCCTCCTGCGTCTTCTCTGCCTACCGTCCCTGAGCCTGAGTCTGACCGCACCCGTGCTGCTCACTCTACTGTCACGCGTCTGCTAGCCACTGTTGTCACTGACCCGTCGTTTGAGTCTGCTGCTGCGTCTGCCTTGGTCGCTGAGCTGGTTGATTTTGCTGCTGCCTGTCGTCTAGACTATGCCGCTAGTCTTGTTACTGAGTCTGAGTCTGTCTGTCCTCCGTCCGTCGGGGGTGAGTGTACTCTTAGCGCGGACGTCCTTGAGGACAGACACGAGGACCTTGAGTGTCTTGCAGCCGCTGCGCCTCATCTCGTGCCCATGCTGCTTGCCCCTGAGGGAGACCCGGATGCACCAGACATCCCGACTCCTCGATCGTACGCTGAGGCGATCGAGGGTCCCTACTCCTCTCAGTGACAGACAGCCATGGACGCAGAGATGGCATCCTGGAAGTCCACTTGCACCTACGTCGACGAGGTTCCCCCTCCTGGGGCGAACATTGTCAGTGGCATGTGGATTTTCAGGGTGAAGCGGCCACCAGGTTCTCCGCCTGCCTTCAAGGCTCGTTACGTTGCTCGAGGTTTCAGTCAGCGAGAGGGAGTTGACTTCTTCCAGACCTTCTCCCCTACTCCGAAGATGACCACTCTTCGGGTGCTGCTGCACGTTGCTGCTCAGCGTGACTACGAGCTTCACTCTCTTGACTTCAGCACAGCTTTCTTGCAGGGCAGCCTGCACGAGGAGATCTGGTTGCGCCGCCCGCCTGGCTTCACTGGGTCGTTCCCTCCTGGTACCCAGTGGAGTCTCCGGCGGTCGGTCTACGGTCTCCGCCAGGCGCCGCGTGAGTGGCACGACACACTGAGGACTACACTAACGGCTCTTGGGTTTGCTCCGTCGACTGCTGACCCGTCGCTGTTTCTGCGCACCGACACGTCGCTGCCGCCGTTCTACATTCTCGTGTACGTCGACGACTTGGTCTTTGCCACTGCTGACACTGAGGCTCTCGCCCTGGTGAAGTCGGAGCTGAAGAAGAGACACACGTACACAGACCTGGGTGAGCTGCGCAGTTACCTTGGCTTGCAGATCACCCGGGACAGAGCACGCCGCACCATCACCCTGACTCAATCACACATGGTGCAGCAGGTCCTTCAGCGCTTCAGCTTCACCTGGTCCTCGGCACAGGCCACTCCTCTGGCTACAGGTCACTCGCTCTCAGCTCCACCTTCGGACGAGTCCGTAGAGCCGAGTGGTTCTTACCCAGAGCTAGTTGGCTGCCTCATGTACCTGATGACCTGCACTCGTCCTGACCTCTCGTACCCTCTTGGCCTTCTGACTCGCTACGTGGCTCCTGGTCGGCACCGAAAGGTGCACATGGATGCTGCGAAGAGGGTACTGCGTTACTTGTGCAGTACATCAGGCATGGGGCTCGTGCTTGGAGGGCGGAGTGAGGTTGTCCTCACTGGTCACTCGGACGCTTCTTGGGTTGACGACCAGGCTACTCAGCGGTCGTCACAGGGTTACACCTTCAGCCTTGGCTCTGGTTCAGTTTCTTGGCGTTCTACACGCTCGTCTTCTGTTCTCGGTTCCAGTTGTGAGGCTGAGATCTACGCCACAGCCATGGCTGCACAGGAGTTACGCTGGCTCACCTACCTGCTGACCGACCTGGGAGAGCGGCCTCGTTCTCCTCCAGTGGTGTACGTCGACAACAAGGCCGCCATTGCCTTGTGTCACGAGCACAGACTGGAGCACAGAACGAAGCACATCGCTCTGCTTTACTTCCTCGCTCGAGAGTTGCAGCAGCGTGGTCAGCTTCGTCTTGCCTACGTGGCCACTCGGGCCAACACTGCTGATATATTCACCAAGGCACTTCCGCCTGGTGATCATCAGCGCTTTTGTACCTTGCTGGGCCTTGTGCCCACGTTTCCTCACTTGCTGTAGACTCTGCTTGTACTGTGATCTATATATATACATATACCTGCTTGTTTGTTCTGCTAGGTAGAGATCACTGTACTGCTGTTGTTGCATATATATCTCTGCATGTGAACTGGCCTTGTGGCCTTCTTGCTTGTGCTCAGAATGTGTGGTGACCTTGTGATCCACTCTGAGCTTGTTTTGCCTCTCTTGACTTGTCTTGTGACCCCTTGCTCTCCCCCACTTTGCCTATGGGGGTGTGTCAGATTATGTATGCTATATATGTTTAGGCTGTAGTGGGGTAGCCAATTTGGGGTACAACCCCTACTAGGGTTTGATATTTGTACCCAACTCTTCCATAGTTCATTTCATTCCTGCCTATACTTCTGACAAAACATACACTGACGCTTGCCCTTCTCACCTGTCCTGTGGTTCCCGTGAAGTTGATGCATCCCCGCGGCACGCCTTTAAAGCACGCCAGCACAAGCTCCTTAGTGGGAGCTGCATCTGCCAGTGGGAGACACACACAAGCCAGCACAAGCTCCTTAGTGGGTGGTGCGTCTGCCAGTTGGAGACACACACACATGAAAACAAACATGGTGCAATATTGGAGTCAGTCTTGAGAGTTCTCTAAAGCATGCCAGCATAAGCTCCTTCGTGGGCGCTGCATCTGCCAGTGGGAGACACACACACATGGAAACACACAGAACAATGTTGGGCTTTAAGACGCCTCAAACGCCTTTGAAGCACGCCAGCACAAGCTCCTTTGTGGGTGCTGCATCTGCCAGTGGGAGACACACACACATGGAAACACACATGGTGCAATATTGGAGTCAGTCTTGAGAGTTCTCTAAAGCATGCCAGCACAAGCTCCTTCATGGGCGCTGCATCTGCAAGTTGGAAACACACACGGAGCAATGTTGGCGTCACATCTGAGAATTCTCTGAATCAAGCCAGCACAAGCTCCTTAGTGGGTGGTGCGTCTGCCAGTTGGAGACACACACACGTGGAAACAATATTGGAGACACTTTTGAGAACTCTCAGAAGCGATACGACTTTTGAGTCGACTCAAAAGTCACTCAGCGATACAAGCAATGAAGGAGTGAACGACATCAAAGAGGTAGGGCACGTATTGATTGACGGGTGGTAGGCTGTACCCATCAACCATAGGGAAGGTCGACAGGGCACTCACTCTGGTCGGCGATGATCCTGCTAAAAGCTTCGAAGAAGGGGTGAACGGTGGGGGAAGGTGGGGCAGGGAGAGAGGGACCCAAGTAAACTCCACACCCCGTCCAGCAAGGCACTCACTCTGGTCGGCGATGATCCTGCTAAAAGCTTCGAAGAAGGGGTGAACGGTGGGGGAAGGTGGGGCAGGGAGAGAGGGACCCAAGTAAACTCCACACCCCGTCCAGCAAGGCACTCACTCTGGTCGGCGATGATGCTGCTAAAAGCTTCGAAAAAGGAGTGAACGGCATCAAAGAGGTAGGGCACGTATTGGCGGGTGGTGTTGAATCGGGGGAGGGAGGGCCCGACGTCGAGAGTGAGCAATCCAGGGTAGATGTCATGGCGCTTGGTCCGCCAGTGCATTATGTATTCCCATATAGGGGACGAGTCCGAGTAGTCTCCCTCTGTAAGCGAGGGAATGAATGACATAGGCAGAAGGGAGGGGTAGAGGTGGGCCCGACGTCGAGAGTGAGCAAACCCGGGTAGATGTCATGGCGCTTGGTCCGCCAGTGCGCAATGTACTCCCAGAGAGCGCATAGAGGGGAGGAGTCTGAATAGTCTCCCCCTGTACAATGGAGGTTGGGGGCAACAGGGGGGGGTCATATGAACGTGGAACAGGGTAGATGTCATGCCGCTTGGACTGCTAATGCATTATGTGTTCTCCTGGTAAAAACATGTACCACGCTGTTGGTACTTTTGAGACGTCTCAAAAGTCTGCTAATGCATTATGTGCTCTCCTGGTAAAGAGATATTCCACGCTGTTGGTAGCTTCACTTACTGTAAGGAGTAATCCCCATAATACTGCTAGGTTTTGAAAGGTTCTGATTTTTTTTCAGAATTCTCAAAAACCAGGTTTTGACAGGTTCTGACCTGCAGTAGTGTATTCTCAAGATACCTCAAAAGCACCATGTTGACGCCATTCTGATCTTAATTCATAGTCTCCACTTACTGTAAGAATCTGCTTTTAAGTCGACTCAAAAGTCAAAAGTATTCTCAAGATACCTCAGAAGCACCAGGTTGACACTTTTGAGAATTCTCAAAAGTCGCACCAATACCTCAGCAGCACCAGGTTGACACTTTTGAGAATTCTCAAAAGTCGCACCAATACCTCAGCAGCACCAGGTTGACACGCCTTCGTTATATTCACTCCGCACTTACTGTGCCATGGTATCGAGGTGACTTTTGAGTCGACTCAAAAGTCATAAGTATTCTCAAGATACCTCAGAAGTGTCATGTTGACACGCCTTCGTTTTATTCACTCCGCACTTACTGTAAGGAGCGATCCCCATCTCCCCTTGCAGTGCTGACGCTAAGGCTGTCAGGTTCTGGCCTGCAGTGGCGGTCAGGAGGTTGGGAAGCAAGCAGGAGAAGAGAGGAGAATGAGTTGCTTCTAACGAGTCGCTTCTAAGAGGCGCCTAAAAAACGATATGCATTGGTGGACGAGTGGTTGGGACACAAGCAAGAGAGTGAGGAGAATGAGTCGCTTCTACGAGTCACATTTGCGAACCGCCTTTCGGAATCGTCAGACTGCAATATAGCGAGGTTGGGATACAAGCAGGAGAAGTGAGGAGGATCAGCTGCTTCTACGAGCCACTTTAGAGAATCGTTTTTGAGAATCGCTTTTCGAGATTCTCAATATAGCGAGGTTGGGACACAAGCAGGAGAGGAGACGAGACGAGACGAGAATGGGCAGTACAACTCACCCAATATTTTTCCCTTTTCCAGACTGGCACTAGCCACCTTCCGTGGCTACCTCATTGCTCACCTTTTGAGGCGCCACACAAGCAGGAGAGGAGACGAGACGAGACGAGAATGGGCAGTACAACTCACCCAATATTTTTCCCTTTTCCTGACTGGCCTTGGTTCCCGTATTGCTCACCTTCCCCCACGAGATCGAATGCCGCTGCTCCATCCGTGCCGAAATACCACCACGGATATTCCAACACCTAAGTGATCATGCCATGCCACTGCTCCCCAGTCCCCCCCTGCTCACCTTCCCCTACAAGATCGAACGCCACTGCTCCATCCATCCCAAAATACCACCAGGAATATTCCAGCACCTCAGCAATCATGCCATGCCACTGCTCCCTAGACCCCTCGTCTCACCTTCCCCAGAACCCCCCTCGTCTCACCATCCCTAATTCTTCCCAGTCCCCTCCTGCTCACCTTCCCCCACCAGATCGAATGCCACTGCTCCATCCGTGCCAAATACCACCACGGATATTCCAATTTCCACCACCTCAGCAGCCAGCCAGCCATGCTTTTGAGACGTCTCAAAAGAATGCCACTGCTCCATCCGTGCCAAATACCACCACGGATATTCCAATTTCCACCACCTCAGCAGCCAGCCAGCCATGCTTTTGAGACGTCTCAAAAGAATGCCACTGCTCCATCCGTGCCAAATACCACCACGGATATTCCAATTTCCACCACCTCAGCAGCCAGCCAGCCATGCTTGGCCACACCTCACTAGACCTCTCATCTCACCTTCCCCGGATCCCCCGTCTCACCTTCCCCCACCAGATCGAATGCCACTGCTCCATCCGTCCCGAAATACCACCAAGGGTATTCCAACCGACCCTGGTGGATTTCGCAAGAGGGGGGAGGAAGAATGGGGAACCTGGTGAATGAGCGAGGGGCGTGAAAGGGCGTGGAGGGGCGTGGAGGCCTAGTTGTGAGACGCCTCAAAAACTAGACGTGGTTTCCGCAAGGGGGGGGCAAGGACGAATGGGGAACCTGGTGAATGAGTGAGGGGCTTGAAAGGGCGTGGAGGGGCGTGGAGGGGCGTGGAGGGGCGTGGAGGCCTAGTTGTGAGACGCCTCAAAAACTAGACGTGGTTTCCGCAAGGGGGGGGCAAGGACGAATGGGGAACCTGGTGAATGAGTGAGGGGCTTGAAAGGGCGTGGAGGGGCGTGGAGGGGCGTGGAGGGGCGTGGAGGCCTAGTTTTGATGCGCCTCAAAACTAGACGTGGTTTCCGCAAGAGGGGGGAGGAAGAACAGGGAACCTGGTGAATGAGTGAGGGGCGTGAAAAGGCGTGGAGGGGCGTGGGGGGGCGTGGAGAGACCAGATTTGAAGGGGATATCACTCACCAGGTCTAGAGCCGACTTTTGAGTCAATTAAAAAAGTCAACTTTTGAGTTGACTCAAAAGGAATTGGAGAGACCAGATTTGAGGGGGATATCACTTACCAGGTTTAGAGCTGCACTCCATATCCCCTCGGCTGCATTGGGTGAGACAACAAGCAGCACCACTGTGGAGTCATGGGCTTGAACGAACGGCTTGGAGAGACTTGGAAACACCAGATTTCCAAGGGATTTCAAGTATATTCTAGGGGGGTTTTCCTCAGCACTTCTCAACTCGCCAGGTTTAGAGCAGCACGCCAGATGCCCTCAGCTGCATTGGGTGAGACGGCAAGCACCAGCACTGTGGAGTCACCGGCTTGAATGAGCGGCTTGGAGGGGCACACTGTTACAACACCGTCCTCTACTCCATGCTTCCCAAGGGGTATCAATCACAGGCAAGAGCAGCGCGCCATATCCCCTCGGCTGCGTTGGGCGAGACGGCAAGCACCAGCACTGTGGAGTCATCCGCTTGGATGAGCGGCTTGGAAGGGATTGGGTCCCCAGGAGGGACACTGAAACCCTTCACTTACTCACCAGGTCTAATGCAGCGCGCCAGATCCCCTCAGCTGCGTTGGGCGAGACGGCAAGGACCACAATCGTGGAGTCACCGGCTTGGAAGGGCTCGAATCGGAGAGGTTGAGGAGAGCAGATACTGAGGGGAATTCGTAAGGCGATTTCGTCAGCACAGCTCTTCACTCACCTAGAGCAGCGCACCAGATGCCCTCAGCTGCGATGGGTGAGAATGAGCGGCTTGGAGGGGCTTGGATCACTAGGGGTTCTTACCAGTGGCACTCACCAGGTCTAGTGCAGCGCGCCAGATGCCCTCAGCTGCGTTGGGTGAGACCGCTAGGACCACCACTGTGGAGTCATCGGATTGAATGAGCGGCTTGGAAGGGTTTGGGTCGGAGAGGTTGAGGAGGAGGGAGGAGTAGTTGAGGCAGGGCACCGGAACGGGTATGCTGTGCACTGTGAGGTTGTCACTGCGCGCGAAATACTGGAGGGAGGGAAGGATAGGGGAGGAGAGGTGAAAGGGGGTGAACCGTAAGGTTGTCACTGCACGCAAAGTACTGTAGGGAGGGGGTAAGGGGAGAAGAGGGGAGGGAGGGGAGAGGAGAAGAGAGGAGAGGTTGAGGAAGAGAGAGGAGTAGTTGGAGCAGGGGACTGGGACGGGAATGCTGTGCACTGTCAGGTTGTCACTGTGCGCGAAATACTGGAAGGATGGGACGGGTATGCTGTGGACCGTGAGGTTGTCGTTGTGAGGAAAGTAGTGAGGGAGTGGGAAGGGAGGGGAGAGATCAGAGGAGAAAGGGGGTGGAGTGGACTGAGGGGCATCGAGCATAGAGAGGAGTAGTTGAGGCAGGGCACTGGGACGGGTATGCTGTGGACCATGAGGTTGTCGTTGCGAGCAAAGTACTGGAGGGTTGTGGGTGAGGGGAGAAGAGGGGTGGGGAGGGGAGAAGAAAGGAGAGGTTGAGGGAGAGAGAGGAGCAGTTGGAGCAGAGCACTGGCACGGGTGTGCACTGTGAACTGTGAGGTTGTCACTGCGCGCGAAGTACTGGAGGGAAAGGGTGGAGGGAAGGACATGGAGTGGAGGTTGAGGGAAAGAGAGGAGTGGTTGGTTGGCAAGGGTATGCTGTGCACTGTGAGGTTGCTACTCCGAGCGAGGTACTGGAGGGCAGGGGAGGATATGAAGGCGGAGAGAGAGAGGGGGCATCAAGCAACGCAGAGAGAGTAGTTGAGGCAGGGCACTGGCACGGGTATGCTGTGCACTGTCAGGTTGTCACAGCAAGCGGAATACTGAGGGGCGGAGAGGTCAGCGGCGAGGGGGGGTGGATATCAAGCAAGAGAGGGAGAGGAGTAGTTGAAGCAGAAATACTGAGGGGAGGAGAGGTCAGCGGCGAGGGGGGGTGAACTTGGCATCTCATCATAAACATACGAGAATGCGCACATGCTCAATACGCAGAGGGGTGAGAGGCGAAAGCACGGAGGGGTGGGAGGCGAAAGCACGGAGGGGTGGGAGGCGAAAGCACGGAGGGGTGGGAGGCGGATGAGGGTAAACTGGGCATCATACCCTAACGCTGATCCGTTTTAAGGCGCCTCAAAAGCAGACGAGGGTAAACTGGGCCTGCATCTCATCAAACCCTAAACCCTAAACCCTAAACCACTAATCCGTTCGTCTCGTCTTTTTTTTTTAGAATTCTCAAAAAACATACGAGGGTAAACTGGGCATGCGTCTCATCTGATGAGACTCATCATACTCCTGCCCTCATCATACCCTAACAGGACGCTGATTTGTTCGTCTCCTCTGTGAAGAGCAGGACGCGTCGGTCAAACCGAAAGGAACCCATGCAACACGCAAGCATGTGCGTACGTACAATGACTTTTGCGTCGACTCAAAAGTCACCTCAGGACGAGTCGGTCAAACAAAAGGGAACCCATGCAAGTACGCAAGCATGTATGTACACATGCTCAAATGCTAAAACGCACACATGCACGCATGCAATCAAGTGCACCCCACTCACCTGAATGACTTTTGAGACGTCTCAAAGTGCACCCCACTCACCTGAATGACTTTTGAGACGTCTCAAAGTGCACCCCACTCGCCTGAATGACTTTTGAGACGTCTCAAAGTGCACCCCACTCGCCTGAATGTCATAGCCCAGTGCTGACCCGTACGTGTCCTCTCTGAAAAACAGGATGACTCGATCAAACACCAAGGCAAAGGTGCCTGTTGTAATGCCTCTGTGCGCACTTAGACTGCGCACTTAGACTGCGCACTTAGACTGCACACTTAGACTGCGCACTTAGACTGCGCACTTAGACTGCGCACTTAGAATGCGCACTTAGACTGCGCACTTAGACTGCGCACTTAGACTACGCACTTTGACTGTGCACTTAGACTGCGCACTTAGACTGCGCACTTCGACTGCGCACTTAGACTGCGCACTTCGACTGCTCACTTAGACTGCTCACCTCGATATCATAACCTAGCGCTGAGCCGTACGTGTCCTCTGTGAAGAACAGAATGACTCGATCAAACACAAAGGGGCCCATGTATGTAGTCATGCACACGGGGTCACAAGCAAGCACACATGCATGCAAGCACGGAGCCAAGTGCGCCCCGCTCACCTCGATATCATAACCTAGCGCTGAGCCGTACGTGTCCTCTGTGAAGAACAGAATGACTCGATCAAACACAAACTCCTGAAGCAGGGAGCGCATGGCTGCTGCCTGGTGCCTGTCGCCAAAGCTGTGGAGGGGAGAGGGGGAGGGGGGGTGTGCGGATGCAAAGAGGAGAGGCATTCTAAGAGTGCAGCAGAGAGAGGAGGGAGCGCGTCGCTGCTGCCTGGTGCCTGTCGCCAAAGCTGTGGGGAAGGTGGTGACGGTGGGTATGGAGACAAGGAGGCAAGAAGAGAACCGGATGATTCGGTCAAACTCAAACTCCCGTACGAGCGAGCGAGCGCATGGCTGCTGCCTGGTGCCTGTCGCCAAAGCTGTGGCGAGGGTGGGGAGATGGGGGCAAGGACGCAAGGAACAGACGCATCTCCTGTGAAGAACAGAATGCCTCGGTCACACACGAACTCCTGCAGCAGGGAGCGCATGGCTGCTGCCTGCTGCCTGTCGCCAAAGCTGTGGGGGATGGTGTGGTGGTGGGGATGGGGGCGAAGAGGCAAGCACACAGATGTATTGCAAGTGAGGAACAGGATGACTCGATCAAACACAAACTCCTGAAGCAGGGAGCGCATGGCTGCTGCTTGGTGCCTGCCTGTTGCCGAAGCTGTGGCGAGGGGAGGGGGTGGGGGGGGGGGGGGGGGGGCGATGCAAAGAGAAGTGGCTTTCTGAGAGGGCAGCAGAGAGAGGAGGGAGCGCATCCCACCCTTTCCCGGTCTCTGAACCCATCCCACGTGGTGCCCTATGAGCCAGCACAACACCACCTTAACCCACCTCCACCCAACCCAACCGACTCCCACCTCCCATTGACCCACACACCCTCTCCACTCACACGGTGCGGGAGAAGCTGCCAAATCTCTCCCGGTCTCTGAACCCATCCCACGAGGCACCAAGTGAGACAATGGGAACACCAGCAGGCACGAGAACGTCTGCTGCTCCCAACGCTGCCCTATGATCCATCTCAACCCAACCGAACCGATTCCCACACCCCTGTTGGCCTATAAACAGCCCTTTGACTCACACAGTGCGGAAGAAGCTGCCGAATCTCTCCCGGTCTCTGAATCCATCCCACGTGGCAGCGAATGAGACGATGGGAACGCCAGCAGGCACGAGAACGTCTGCTGCTCCCAACGCTGCCTCCGTGCATGCCGGGCCCACCACTCCCACCACTCCATCCCTGAGTAGGAGCTGCACAGGCAGAGACGGTGGAAAGGGGCGGAGAGGGGCAAGGGGAGACTATGGGAACACCGGCAGACACCAGCACGTCTGCTGCTCCCAATGCTGCCTCCGTGCATGCCGGGCCCACCACTCCCACCACTCCATCCTAGTAGCTGCACAGGCAGAGATGGTGGAAAGGGGCGGAGAGGGGTGGAGAGGGGCAAGGGGAGACTATGGGAACACCGGCAGACACCAGCACGTCTGCTGCTCCCAAAGCTGCCTCTGTGCCCGCCGGGCCCACCACTCCTACCACCCCGTCCCTCAGTAGCAACTGCAAGGCGGAGAGTCAGGCAAAGACAGATTCAGGCATGAGAGTGAGCATATGGGCTCGCCAACAGGCAATGCTTCAGTGCACGCTGGTCCCACCACTCCCACCACCCCATCCCTTAGCAAGAGCTGCAAGGGGGAACAGGCAGAGACAGTGACAGGAGTGGAGGGGGGCGGAGAGGGGCGGAGAGGGTTAGTACCAGCATCAAACGCACCCTGCCCCTGCGCTTACCCCACCCAACCCAACCACCTCCGGTTTTTTAGAATTCTCAAGAACCACCTCTTACCTGTGCAGCCTCCTTTGCTTCCTCCCTATCGCAGTTGGAGTTGGCAATGTGTGGCACCACATCAAATGGAATGGGCATTCGACCACTCAAGGAGGACCCAAAATACCCATGCCATGCCCACCCCGCCCCTCACCTGCGCCGAGTATTGGAAGGCCTCTGTGCTTGCTGGTCCCCTCACGCCCACCCCCATTCTCACCTGCGCAGCCTCCTTTGCTTCCTCCCTATCGCAGTTGGAGTTGGCAATGTGCGGCACCACATCAAATGGAATGGGCATCCAAGCACTCGAACGCCTCTGCACATGCTGGTCCCCTCATGCCCACACCTCCCCTTACCTGCGCAGCCTCCTTGGCCTCCTGCCGGTCACAGTTGGAGTTGGCAATGTGCGGCACCACATCAAAGGCGTCCGAGTATTTGGGGCCTAGCACCTCCAGAGCCACTCGTGATGCTGCGATCCTGGAGGATGGGGGTGATGATGGGTGGGGGAACGGCAGTTGTAGGGGCAATGTGCGGCACCACATCAAAGGCGTCCGAGTATTTGGGTCCTAGCACCTCCGGAGCCACTCCTGGAGTGTGGCATCGATGGGGAGAGGGAGAGGAGGAGAAGGTGGGAGAAGAGTGTGGGTAGCACTTGGGCAGGCAGTGTGTGCGAGTTGGCGATGTGCAGCAACACATCAAAAGAGTCTGAGTATTTCGGTCCTAGCACCTCCAGAGCCACTCGTGATGCTGCGATCCTGAAGGAGGGGGGTGAGAAGGTGAGAGGGATGAGAGGGAGAGAAAGCGAGAGGGTGAGAGGGTGAGAGGGTGAGGGTGAGAGATATAGATAGAGAGGTCGCGAGCACAAATCTGGACAGTTCTTCTCACGGTATGAGCCCTATTTGGGCCCTAGTGTGACCTCCAAATCGACCTTAAACAAGGCCCGTACCATTCGTCTGCGAGGCGCACGGGAATGACGTTGTCGGCTTTCTGCGATACAGCATCAAAAGCGTTTTTTTTACGAATGCTGGAATTCCAAAAACCATTACAAAGAGGCGATTTTGGGGGAGACGCGTACCATTCGTCTGCAAGGCGCACGGGGATGACGTTGTCGGCTTTGGGATACGGCAGCAGGAACCCGAGCTTCACCACCTGCCGAACCAGACTAGCAGCTTCGGCTTCCAGGCTCGGCGAGTGTGAACAAAGCAAAGCGATGACGAGCAATAGCGGGAACATAGGCGACCGTGTCGAGCTGCACATGCGTGACTGTAGAAGGGTGTGATTGTACGAATGTGCTGCGAGGAACCTTCCCGGATGCCGTCGAGTGTCAGCCATTGTCAGGTAACCACTGGCGACTCGCGAGCGTTTCGTTTCTTCGTGAAAAGAAGTATCCAGAGATGAGCGCACTATGTTTTTTCCTTCCTCGCTTCGCAACCCGCTGACTCCTTCGTTTCGGCGGCCTTTTTGGCGTCTATTACCTTTGGGACGGTAAAAAAATGGCACTACTAATCCAAAGGTCGGTGATGGTCTGTTTAGAGGCGCATGGGCAGTGTTCGCAACAGTTTCTACGTGTCAAACTATCACTGCACTGTTTTGTGAAGAGCCAGGCAGAAGGAGCGACACGGGGATAGGAGCTAACAGAAAGAGTTCGGAGGAAGCTATACAAGCTTGATACCTGCGCTCCAGTCGTATGCAACCTATACGTGTCGGGTAGGAACTCGAACTGGAAACAAGTTCTCTAGAAACAAACTCTCTTTCTCTAGAAACAAACTCTCTTCGAATCAACTACAACGAGCAACTAAGAGCCAGCCTTCTAACTAGCTACTGCGTCAGCAAAGAGCACACCACACTCACATTCTAAACTCGCTACCATTCCACCCGCTTGACTTGACACCACAGCTCCAGTGAGTCCCATGCCTAAATCGCCTGAGCGTCCAGTACGGTTCAGTGGGTTTTCAGACGGTAAGAACAGAGATCTTTCCATTTATCGCTCTCAAACGTACCAAAAAGCGATACTGTACGTGAATGCATATGCGACCCTCGCTGAACGAGCCTCGGGTTCTTCCCGCTATTGGAGATTTGAACTTGGAACATTCCCCATGAACACTTGTCGCACAGCACTGATGATTTGGGACAAGCGTCGAATCGCGATAGCGACTGAAAGACTTGGACAGGCGTCGCATTCAATAAGAAGCGTCGATCTGTGTACGACTGTCGGTGACGAAGCTCGACGCGGTGATTGCGACGGCCACTACTGGCTGGAAATGTCGCCGCAGTCAGACTGGGAGGGGCACACGAAGGTGCAAGAACCTCGGTACGGTTTAGCGTTCTCCAATTATGCTTATAACAAAAAAGAAAAGAACAAAAAAACTAAGCAGAACATTCAATTTTAGCTCGTTATGAACAGAACCAATAGGAACTCATTAGCAGGCACCAAGTTCAAGCAGAGAAGACTCAAAGGCTTGTAGGCTCTGCCATATCCTACAGATTATATACGCTAGTAGGATCAATTGGAACAGTTCTCGATTTTCTAATTTGTCCCCCCCATCCTACCCTCTCCCTCTCCTCATCATACCAAAAGCCTTCCTCGCAATCCTGCTGATCCTTCCCAAACCTACCATCAACTTCCAGCCTCCTCCACTCCTGATAGTATGCATGGCATCTGCTGTCGCTTTCACCAACCTCTGAACCGCACTCCACCGAAAGGTGCCCACGAGAAGTCCTTGCACTCATGCTTCGGCTTTTCAGACAAGCGCCAGATTCAAAATCCTCCTCATCCTCCATATCAGCATGCTGGAGGTATTTCTTGAAGCCAGAAAGCCCCTGCATTCTGTGTGTATCTCTGTACCCGGCTTCTCCTCTTCGGCCCAAGCCCCTTGCTGCTAGCACCTCCTCCTTCCAATTCAACCTGTCCATGCTCGTTACTCCGAAACCCTGAAACACATCCTCATCCTCCTTCAGATAACCCGTGCCCTCGTCACCCTCATGAACCTCCGCTCCCGCATCCTCATATTCATACTCTCGACGAAACTCACCGCCCGGTTTCCTTCGTATAGCAGCACTGTGCATCGAAAACGCAGCATCCAGGTCAATATCTGCTGCAGCGGCTGCTGCTGCAGCAGACCCTACTGGGGCTGAAGGAACAAACCCTTTGCTGCTGCTGCTGCTAACCCTACTAATCGTATCGATGCTCCTAATGTTGCTGCTACTGCCGCTGCTGTTGATTTTAATACTCCCACTGCTGCTGGCAACACTAAAGCTGCCACTGTTGCCACCGATGCCGATGCCGATACTGCTGCTGCTGCTTTTGCCGATGCCGATACTGCTGCTGCTGCTTTTGCCGATGCCGATACTGCTGCTGCTGCTTTTGCCGATGCCGATGCTCCCACTGCTGCTGCCACTGATGGAACTTCTGACCCAAGAGCAGCTGCGGCTGCCATGGCTGTCAGTCAACAAGCCTCTCTCTGCCACTCCAGCCAGCTTCTCACTCCGACCTATTGTGAAGCTGCGACTCCCGCCCACACCTCCCCTCTCCCCCACAGACCTCTCCACACCTCTCCATCCCCTCAGTTGCATCTCCTCATTGATTCTCTCTCTCCTTTCCTCCTCTCTCCTCTCCGCTTCCCAAAGTAAGTCACTCGACCTATCCCGCAGAGCTGCTGGGGTGTCAGGCCCTCCCCCTCCTTCCCCTCCTCCGCCGCCTCCTCCTCCTCCTCCTCCTCCTCCTCCTCCTCCTCCTCCTCCTCCTCCTCCTCCTTCCCCCCTTCCCCCCCTTCCAAGTCCGTACCTTCTTGTCCTCTCACACACACCCCCTTCACTCATATTCCCAACCTCACTCACTCTACCCCCTTCCCTCCGAACCTTCCCACCACTCCTCTTAGGCCCGTCACCCACTTCCCTTCCCACTCCACTCTCGGAATCCACCTTACAAGCAGGACCGTTTCTATCAACAAACGCATGGCTGCTGCTTGGCCTTGTCCGTTCCGCTGGCAGAAGACTCGCCAGCCGCCCAGTGCTACCCGCCCCGTGGCTCATCCTGCAGCCCGAAGAGCCTTGACGTTGCAGGGGAACGTAATAATCGGAAGAAGTTGGGGAAATAACAATTTCAGTTTCCCCTCCACTGCGGTGTTGACTCCGTAAATCCCCCGAAATTCGAGTGCTGTCCAGTGACCTCCTCCCTTTCACCAAACTACCAGCGCTCCTGTTTCTGTGCAATTGGCCGTCACTGTAATCACTGTAGTTTAGTTCACTATACTTACTTCCACCGTGACTTTTTTCACTGTAGCTTGCACTGTACTCGTTACTGCAGCCAGCACCAGACGCGTACACGTCAGCACCGTTTCCTCCCCCACTGCCACAAACATCAACAGATTTTTGCGAACCGCTCCGGACTAAGGGCAACGTCTGCGCGGATCCTTGCGCGGATCCTTTCCCCGCAGCAGAGACCACTGGCGGACGCGACGGCAGCGCAGATCGCGGGTTGCTGCGCGTCCGCCGCAGCGCGTTTACAATCCCCATCGCTTCTTCGTCCGAGTCCACGTCGGACGGAATTGCCGCCGCTGCGTCTGCCGCAGCCTGCGCCGCGATTGCCGCCGCGATCCCCGACGGGCGGCGGGGTGATGCGGGTGCCACGTCACGCTGACGTGGAGATGGCGGGAGGTGACGAGGAGATGTAGGGAGGTGACGTGGGGACGAGGGACAGTGACGTGGAGAAGCGGGTAAATGACGAGGTGAGACGGGGGCCTGCTGATCTGGCGAAATGGGGAAGCAACGTGGCGAAGACGGTCTGTGACGTGGCGAGGATTGTGGTTCCTGACGCGGTGAAAGCGGTTCGTGACGTGGCGATGTGGGACAATAGCGAGGGGATGTTGGAACAACCGCCGCGGCTCGAACCGCCGCGGATCGTGCAGTACTGGCGGCGGCGGGTCTAGTAATACGACATGCGAGCGCGGAAGGTCGCGGGAAGGCGGAAAATGAAGGGGAGGAGGAAGCGGAAGAAGGGGAGGGGCCGGCGGAAGAGGAGGAAGAAGGGGAGACGAGAGCGAGTGAGGGGCGCGCAGAGGGGGTGGAGAGAGAGGTTGGGAATGCAGGGTAAGGGGAAGCGGCGGACGGGGAAGCGGTGGACGAGGAAGCGGCAGATGGGGAACCGGCGGACGGGGAAGCGGGAAACGGCGGGAGAAGCGCGGAGGTATTGGCGGCGCGCTGCAGATCCGACGAGCTGCGCGATCGTCCGCTTATAGACGCGGTCGTCTCGCGAATCGTGCGTGGCGAGAAACGCGCTGCGGGGTGAGTTTGCGCCATTCCGGAGTTGATCTGCGCCGCTGCGCCGGTTACCGCATCGGCCGGCACGGGATGGGCGCTATCCGCGGCGCGGCTTCCGGATCTTAAAGCGCCTCGACTTCCCTGGATCGACCCCTGCTTTTGAAGATCCCGCCGCTGCTGCTGCTGGTGCTGTTGCTGTTGCTGTTGCGTCTGCTGCTGCTGCCGTCTTGACGTGGGAGGCATCCAATCGTCCGCATCGTCGATCCAACGGTCAGAATTATTCCACGAACCGCCACGCGAAGTAGCGTTATCGTCTCCAGCATCGTTGCGATCAACCCACGAGCCTCTGTGCGCGGACACTTCCGCAAGACCTTCTGCGGGCCCTTCCGCGAGATCTTCCGCGGGCCCTTCCGCGCAGCTATGCGCGGGGATGCGCGGGGACTCCTCTACCGCGTAGCAGTGAAACCCGCTCGCATGCGCGGGAGTTGCGCCACCCGCCTTCGCCTGCGCCAAGCGGGAGTTGCGCCGACCGTTTCCGCCGATCGCGCGGACGTTCTTCTCGTCGTTGTGGCTAAAGGCCTTCCGCAGCGCCCTCCGCGCGCCCGCAGGAGACGGCGGCGGAAGTGGCACGGTGTGCGAATGCGGTATGACGAAGCGCTGCGACAACTGCGACATCGACGACGATTTGGACACAGTCGCACCAGTCGCAGAGGGGCTTGCTACCGCCGTCGACGAGTGTTGCCCTGCGACGCCGTGCGAGCCGCCAGTGTGGTCGGGCACTCCTTGTTCGCGTAAGTCATCGCGAATGTCGGAGTCGCGTTCGCAAAACATGTCTAGAAACTCTTCATCCGACGAATAAACCTCCGCCACGTCATCCAGTCGAAGCGCGGTCACCTTCGCCACCACCGCTTCGCCTGCCAACCCGCCGGACCGGTGCGCGCGCGCAGGCAGAGCCCCTTCGCAGGATCTTCGCGAAGCGCCGCTCCCGCGGGCCCTTGGAGACGGAGCAACCATATCCCGAGGCGTTTCGCTAGGCGTGCTTTGCGGGCTCGCAAGCCCGAACGGGTCTGACGCGCCGACGGCGGGTTTTGCGGGGGAGCAGGGGAAGGCGGAAGCGGCGGCGGAGCGCGCGGGGCGGGAAAGAGTCGGGGGTGCGGAACACGGGGAGCTCGTCGGGGACCAGGGAACGGCGGAGCGGGGGGAGGCAGCGCACGGGCCCGCGGGGGATAACCGCGCAGATGCCGGCGCGCAGGAGAGGGAGATGCGGCTTCCGCTGCCGTTCCCACCGCCATTGACGTTTCCACGGCCGCTGGCGCTCCCGCTGCCGCTGGCGCCCCCGCTTGCGCTGACTGCGCTGCTGCCGGGAGGCGCGGGGAGCTGGAGTCGCGGCGGTCTAGCTCGACGCTGAGCTAGCGCCGACGGGGAGCGCGAGGAGGAAGCTTCGGTTGCGCGTGAGGAAGCTTCGGAGGCGCGAGTGGTTGAATCAGACGCGCGTGATTGGCCAGCGCTATTGCCTGTGATGCTGCTAGAAGCCCTATCTCTGTTAGTGCTGCTCCTGCTATCGAAGCTTGCACTATCGTGTCCGCTAGGCTGCGGCGAATCGTTAGAAGCGTGCCCGCGCAAGCCCTCCGCGTGTCCGCGCAAGCTAACCGCGTTTTCGCGCACCTCCATTCCCCACGAGGGGAGGCGCGAGTGCGTGCCCGCGTGACCCCGCGGAGAGAGCGATTGAGGCAGCAACGGCGCATCCGCGTTAACGACTGAGTGAGAGCTGTTGCTACTAACATAAGAAATCGATTCTCTCGTGGCTAAAACTGGCGGCCTCGTCGCGCACGCGACCTCCGATTGGGGCATGTCTTTTAGCTGGTGCTGCAACTCCACGCGTCTTACGCGGAGGGGATATAATGTCAAGCCAAGTCAGCACGCTGCTTGTTGGTTGTAGATGTTTTCTTATTTCACAGCGTAAAACTAAACCGTCTTCTGTTTCCTCGAGACACGTACAGTCCCCGCCGATTTGGGAGGGGGTTGTTGAGTTGAGAAGTAGGGAAAACTGGGAGGGCGAGATTGAGGGAAGGTGAGAGGGAGGGAGGGAGGTATAGAAAAGCAGATGAGGGACGTTGATGGGGATGGGCTAAGAGTGGCTAAGGAAGGCTAAGAAGGGCGGGAAGGGAAGAAGAGAGGCGAAGAGAGGTGAAAAGCGACGAAGAGGGAGGGAGACATGCTTCTCCCCTCGAACCTTGGGCAGAAACATCACGCGCGCAGGGACAGGACAGATTGATTGCAGAAGCAGCCAACCTGTCCGCGCCGCCGCGGCGGAAATGGAAGGGAGGGCTGCCGCGACCGCAAATGGCATGAGTGAGCAATGCCACGGAGCTGAGAAGCGCCGATCTGGCAGCGGAAGCTGACGTATGTGCAGATATAAAAGGTTTTAGCATGGTTTTGTGTGTTTTGGTACTTTTGTGTATGGTCTGCTACGGTTCCAGACATCATCAGACCTCCTCGTTCTGCAAGGATGGACGACATTCACACGAGAGGTACACACGATGCTCAGCCCCTGTGCGCGAATTTTACCTTCTCATTTTAAAAAAACTGCCCACGTGTTTTTTTTACCGGCCAGTTGCACCCAGCTTATATGCACACCGTGCAGATTGTGGGTGGGTGGCCAGTTGAGAAAACATACACATGTGCTTACTAACAACATATGTTGCCCGTGGGCGTCTCTTTTTCAAGGCTAGGGTCAAGGTTCGTGAAAAAATGTGGCGGAAAAGTTTTTGGCGTCGCGCACATTTTTGCGCATGACTCTCCGCCGCGTCGTTCCGGCTCTTCGTGCACCAAACGCACGACCCTCGGCCCAGGTTTGCCACGTGTACGTTGCTACGGTTAGTTTTAAACGCAACAACGTTAACACAGTATGCATACGTCACCCTCAGTGGTGGTGGTAAACTCGGACGAGTAACAGACACGATTCTGGAAACATTCACTCCGCGAAGTTATATTACACGCACAAATGTGGCAACATCCACTCGCATGAATGTTGAAGCAGCACATTACGGCCCCGCGAATTAACACCTCGAACAAGGAGAGAGCCGAGCACATTGACAAGCAAAATGACCGAGGCAATCAGTCTTACACATTAGTTAAGCGGCTATCCATGCCGCGCCTATTTCGCCGCTCGCAGCTACCAATTCATATCAAGAGGGCAATATGTGCCCAGCATGTGAGTAACCCTCGCATGCGCCAGGTCGACCTGGCGCGGTGGTGCTTTACCCGTTTCGGGATCCGTCCCGATCGTTCGACTATTGGGCGCGTTCTGAAAGGAGCCGACCATTGGACCGCCGTCTCCCCCAGCAACAACACCGTCCGCGTGCGTGGCGGCGCATACCCTCAGCTGGAGCAGGCGATGGTGCGCTAGATCCGGAACGCCGGCCCTGCTGGTGTTCCCCTCACCCTGATGATAATCCGCGACCACATCGCGACCATCGCCTGCGGCATGGACCTTCCCGACACCTTCCGCTGCTCTGTGGGGTGGGTTCGCCGGGCCATGCGGCGCAACGGCATTCGTTGCCGCAGCGCAATCGGGGAGGCCGCCGATCAGGATCACGTCGCAGTTCTACTTGCCAGGAGCAGCTCCTGCAACTCCTGATGCACCTCTCTATCCGTCCGTCGAGTACAATTTCGACGAGACTGCCCTGAATTTGTTGGTCTTACCTCGCAAGACGTACGGTGGTGCGCGCGTGGCGGGGCAGAAGTTGGGAAGGAGTGCCTCACCGTCAGGTTGCTCATGAACACGGACGGTAGCTGTGCATTCCGCCCCTTAATCATCTCTAAGGCTAAGCGCCCGCACGACTTTCTTCCCGATTACGACCTGGAGGAGCTACGCTACTAGCGTCACACCACTAAGGGATGGATGACGGCGCCGGTAAGCATGAGAGTTATTGCTCACATTCGCGCACATCCAATTCGATGTTGTTTGGTTTGCCAATATGATTCACATATGCTTCACACTTATGCGTTTCTTTTGTGCCTTCGCATTTCGTGCAGCCTTTCACACACTTTATTGGGCAGCTCAACGCCGCCATGGTGGCGAGGACCGCCAGGTCGTCATACTCTTGGACAATGCGAGCAGCCACGTCATCAGGAGCAACGCCGCCACATCGGAAGACCTTTTTCGGCTTCCGCACTTGGGGCATCGGCAACATCAGGCTTCTCTTTCTGCCGCCCAACACGATTGCCTTCACGCAGCCGCTCGACCAGGGGCTGATCGCAACAACTAAGGCACGCTACTGCGTGCACTGGCTTCGTGCAGCCACGGCCAGTTGGCAAGATGCGGGCGCCACGCCCGTGATGGCACGATACCGCCCGAACATGCGCGACATCATCGCCTGGCTCTCGAACGCTTGGATGAACATCCTCGTGCGCACGATCCAGCGTTGCTGGTGGCACACGGGGTGCATGCCGCGCTCGTGGGCCATGCACCTGGCGCATGTTGGCCTGGACGGCGGCAATGGCGTGAATGCCGCTCTCCCCATCGACCTCGACGAGGACATCGGGGATGTCGGCATCATAATCGCCCGTCTTGGCCTAGAGCCTAGCGCTATGCCGGCCACTGCATTCGTCGTCATCGACGACAACCAGCCCACGTGCGCCGAGCTGCTTGCCCTTGAGCCCGCAGCGGGGTATTCGGGCGCCATGGTATTCCGTCATAGGAGGCACCCTCCACCGACCCAGAGAGCAGTGAGGCGCGGCGTTATGCACGAGCGGCGAGCGAGATGCTCATTAGCTACGCACGTGCCACCGGCATCACGCCGCGCAACCTTAGCGCGCTTTTCGAGATCAAGAACCCTATCATCGTCGACCACATGGAGCGCGCCAGCTCCGCGCTGAACCTAAACACGACGCCGCCGCTCGCTCCCCAACCTGCCTAGCGACTCCAACGCAAGCTCCTGTCGCCACCACGCAGGCGACCACTCCTCGACGCCGCTGACGCATTCTGCCTGCGTGGATGTATGCGCCTGCTCCCACCCGCCATCAGCTTATTGACTCTGACGTGAGTGCCGTCATGAACGGCTATGTGGATGCCGCAGAGTGGATGACTTTGTGAAGGGGTTGGTCACCCCTTAGAGGAGAACGACTCTTATCTGTGCACAGATGTGCAGATCTTGTACACAATTGTGCACTGTTAGTAGCCCCGTGTGTTGCTTCATGTGCACAGCTGCGAGTCCGGGATTGGCCGAAGTGAGATGGTTGCATGTTCATGCCTGTTTGTGAGTACTTCTGTAATCGGGTGCTACAGAAATGGAAAAACAATGTGGTAACACTAGCAATACATATCAAACAACCACAGCCACCCTACACTGTTGTGGTTTAACTTAAACGGGGTGTTACACATTCCAGTTAAACGCCCACCATGACCGAGGCGAAGTGCGCGGAATTGCGCGAAATGGCAAATCAGTTACAGACCCTCTTCACAAGGCAGGTATGGGGGACTCAAACGCGAACAGGTGTACAGCACACTGAGGTTTGAATGAGAGGTGTTCATGTGGGGGAGGGGAGGAGGACGGGACGGGAGAAACAAACAAGGTTTACTGTAGTGGTCCAATGTTTAATTTTCACCAGTCCATCCGGGCCCTGGTGGGTTCGAACCCACCAGCATTTGCATCAGCAGATAGCGAAGCGACTTCCCTTCGTCGTGAATGTACAGTACAAGTTTCACCAGTTTCCCAAACAGCCCTCGAACACGACAAGGTCCTGATTTTGGATTGGATGTCCCCGCCGTATGATGCCATGGTGCCACTCATCAGCACAGTGGGTGGAAATGAATGGGCGGTGATGGGGAAATCGGATCAAGACTTTACCGTCGACTCTTTCGTTTATCTGATGCCCCACTTTCCTTGGAGCTGCCCTAAAATCGCAGAGACAGCCTCCCTCGTTAGCACCCGTACTGCCATCGGCGTGAGTCCATCCCAACCAACGATCGCGGTCATCAACAATCACACCCTTGACACGGAGTCGGCAGGAATGCAGTACACGTACACCCAACGAAGTACTAATTCTTCATCTGCGTCTCGGATCGGAACGGGAAAACAGACATGGAAACACATGCGCGCGGGCCCACTGCACCATTTGGCCATCTTTGAACCAGCACATCGGATCTCTTCAACCTCATAGAAACGGATAAAAGCCTCCACGACAGACAAATCATTGTTGGATCAAGCTTTCAAGTTGATAGACCCATGCTTCTACAGTAAGAAGCAATAGTACACTGTAAAAAAATCATAAGTGCCAGATTCAGGGAGAGATACATGCGGATCACACTAATGGTTTGAATCCCCCTATTACTCCATTGGCAATAGAAATATATGGAAACATCAAATTTGGCGCATACTATTTATCTTGCCTACCACTCCCTACAAGTCTTATGCACGTTGTGCTTATTCTAAAGCATGCGAACAAACGTCTGGTGCTCGGGGTGGCGGTAGTTGCGGTTGTACCAATACCATCCACCGTATCCGAGCACTCCAATGGCGACGATAATGACCAGCACGAGAGCAACAATGGCACCCGTGCTCGGCCCGCCGCCACCACCAGAGGGTGCAGGCGCCTTGGTAGTGGTGGTATTGTAATCCTGCAAAAACAGACGGGGGAAGGTAAGGAAGAATACCTCATTTCATAAGCTGCCTCGAAATTCAAGAACCATCACAACAGTTCAGATCACAGCAAGGGTAGTGCAGGGTGGTTGCAGGCCATGCAGCCATCTGCTTCTAACCCACTCAGGTCCCTGTCCCTCCCTTCTCACCTTCTCTCCCCATACGGTCACTTCACACTCCCATGTGCCTGCCTTTCCCTCTCTCCCCCTCCTCACCTTCTCCTTGGCACCGGGCAGGTCATCAAAAGTGTCTGAAATCTCCTGCGGCTTGTTGATGCCGCCCGGGATGATGGCAGGCTGGGCGGCCATCTGCTTCATGAGATCCACCTTCCAAGTGGGCGGCAGTGGGCCCGGGCGCTCAATGTAGTCCAGGTTGGGGTTGATGTCGTAGCTGCCAAGCACCCACTTGCTCTTCTCCTGAAGGATAGAGAGTAGACAAGAGGGAAATAGGTCAGGGACAGGGAGTGGGGCGCTCAATGTAGTCCAGGTTGGGGTTGATGTCGTAGCTGCCCAGCACCCACTTGCTCTTCTCCTGCGGTGGGAAAGGAGAAGAGGGCATAGCGATTGCACACTCGAGGAGTGAGAAGGCACACAGATGGCAGTGGGCCGAAATGTTCAGGCAGGTGGGACTGACCTTCCAGGTGACGTCATAGAGCGTGTAGAACCCGTATTGGGAAGCAGAGGCCATGAAACATGTGGGAATATCTCCAGCAATGCTCACAAAGACTGACCTTCCAGGTGACGTCAATGAGGTTGTAGAACCCGTATTGGGGCGCAGAGGCCTCCGTCTGCCTCTCCCCTGTGGTGCTGTTGAACGAGACGGTGCCAGAGGCGCCGTTGAACGCCACACACTGCGAGGGGATGCCTCGGAAGCAGTCCAGCAGGAGCGGCGCCGTTACCTCCTTGCCTGGCGACACAAGGACGACCAGTGGGAAGATGCAGGAAAACAAAGAGACAGACAAAAATTGGTGTTGCGGCCACAAGACATGAAGCAACTGCGCCGACCAACAATGAAAAAAACAAAACAAAACAAAACAAACAAACATCAAACAAACGAGGCCCTGTACCTTGGTCAACGACAATCGACTTGAAAGCTTCAAAGAATGCCCAGATGGAGTCAATCAGGTTGGTGACGTAGGCTCGGGCTTCGGTGAACTGCACAAGTCAAGGTGGCAGGGGAGGGAGGCAAGGCAGAAGATACAGAGAGGGAGCAGTCAGATGCAAGAGACAGTGGGGAGGGGAATGCCCAGATGGAGTCAAAATCAGGTTGGTGACGTAGGCTCGGGCTTCGGTGAATGGTGGCAGGGGAGGGAGGCAAAGCAGCAGATTCAAGGAACCGTGAGATGCGAGAGACTGCAAGATTGGAAAGTGCAAGGCCAGCTTGAGTAGATTAGGTTGGTGACATGGGCAGGGGCTTGACAGGTAGAATCAATTAGGTTGGTGACATGGGCAGCGGCTTGACAGGTAGAATCAATTAGGTTGGTGACATGGGCAGGGGCTTGACAGGTATAATCAATTAGGTTGGTGACATGGGCAGCAGCTTGACAGGTAGAATCAATTAGGTTGGTGACATGGGCAGGGGCTTGACAGGTATCACAGTTATTCACAGCGGCACGCACGGGCTGCCGTGAACTGAGGGAGACAAGGGGGAAGCGAGGGCGGTGGTGGGAAGAGGGAAAGTGACTTCGTCGATGCAAGAGACTGCAAGCTTGGAAGGTGGAAGGTGGAAGGTGGAAGGCCAGATAGAGTCATGTGGTGACATGGTGAACCGAAGGCCTTCTGTGAACCGAAGGCCTTCTGTGAACCGAAGGCCTTCTGTGAACCGAAGGCCTTCTGTGAACCGAAGGCCTTCTGTGAACCGAAGGCCTTCTGTGAACCGAAGGCCTTCTGTGAACCGAAGGCCTTCTGTGAACCGAAGGTCTTCTGTGAACCGAAGCAGTCCAGGCACATACCCGGGGGAGGCGTCGAGTGTGAGCAGGCCAGGGTACTCCTCGTGCGCCTTGGTGCCACCAAGCTGCCGGCTTTCAGTCACTGACAGCACGCACATACCCTTGGGGAAGCGTCAAGCTTGACAGCTAGCTATCACAACAACACGTGCATACCCGGGGGGAGGCGTCGAGCGTGAGCAGGCCAGGGTACTCCTCGTGGGTCTTGGTGGCCCAGAAGTCCTTGAACTGGTTGAAGGGCGACGTGCGCGGATGGTAGTTGCCCTCTGCGCGTGGGGGGGAGGATCAAAAGGGTAGATAGGGGGAGGGCAGGGAGAGAGGCAGGGACAGGGAGAGGGGGACGGGGAGGGAGAAGAAGAGCGAGAACAGGAGAACGAGAACGTGAGCAGGCCAGGGTACTCCTCGTGGGTCTTGGTGGCCCAAAAGTCCTTGCAAGGTAAGGTAAGTGCTATATATGCAGCAAGCAAGCCAGTGACTTACTGTAAGGCCCGACGCCAATCTCTCCCAGCAAGGCGTGTGTGAGGTTGGTTAGGTCATTGCCTGCAGTCGTGTTTTGAGTCGACTCAAAACACGACTCTTTTTTAGTCGGCTCAAAAATGCAAGCAAGCCAGTGACTTACTGTAAGGCCCGACGCCAATCTCTCCCTGCAAGGCGTGTGTGAGGTTGGATAGGTCCTTGCCTGCACGGCACCAGGGAAGTGTGAGAGAGGAAACATAAACATGTGAAAGAAAGAAAACCAGATTTCATTTTTTTTTTGCTTCATAATTCCCGTTTCACAAATGGGCCTCGCAATTATCCTCGTTACAACTTGAAAAGGACAAGCGTACCTTCACCAACGAGGTCAAATGCAACGGCGCCATCAGCTCCCAGGTACCAGTACGGGAACTTGGTCTGGCCCTGAAGTGCGTGAAGGAAAAGAGGGAGAGGGGGGGAAGGGAGCAGCGAAAGGGATTGCCATCAGCTCCCAGGTAACAGAACGGGAACTTGGTCCGACTCATCAGGGGTTAGACAAACCAACTCACCAGGATCCGGCCAAACCAACTCATTAGCCGGAATGGCGCCTTTCACAGGGTCTCTGTTATGTTGGCCAGCGTTAGACAAACCAGCTGACCAGATACGGCCAAACCGACTCATTAGATCCGGCCGAACCAACTCACCAGCCGGAACGTCGTCTCCCACAGGGCCTCCGCGACGTTGGGCAGCGTGGCGAAGACGCAGACGGACGCGTTGCTGGGCTTCATGTTGGCGAAGTGCTGGTCGAGGGCCGAGGGGTCCACGGGGTACGACACCTTGATCGGCTGCAGCATGCGCTGCCCGCCCAAGATGTTCTGCT